TAACTTTTCGATGTTGCACTGCCCAAAGGTGGAAATAAACCGTATTCCGATCCCCACTAGCGATCCATTATGCCCGAGATTTCTAGTGCCATGTCAACTCTTCACGACACAATACCACTTCTAAATCTTTCTGAAGCTTGACTTCTAAACTTAGTAGGAAAGGGTTATGACAATTCTCTAAAGCCCATTGAATACCTCCCAATCTGACCAGCATGGACTTTTTTTGTTAAAAAGCATTACCAAATACTTCTTTATTCCACTTAGTAAGAGAATCAATAAAAGCAGCAATGGGAAGAAAGACAGATTTAATAGGCAAAATCTAATAAGTTTAGATTTAATATAAATACTATAGTTTTGAGCTATTTGGCACCACATAACTTATCAAACAAAGATAAGAAAAAAAAAAAGGGAAGAGAGAAATTTCAAAAGAAGAAAAAGATAAAGTGCCCATGGGAAGTTAAAGTTAGTAACCAATGCAACTAGTTCTCTGACAAGTATTCAAATCTAAGATTTTCAATAATATTAAACTTCATATCTAAAAGATGAATCTCCCAATGCGACAGTGAAAAAGCCAATCGCCTCATCATAAATATATTAAATACTTCTACAATAAATTAGATAAGTAATTGGTGGCCATGAATGACTGCTAATTATGAGAGAAGGAAGACAATCTGAGTCTGATCAAAGAAGAAGAATGAAGTAGGTTTTGATTTTAGTGATGACAGCAATATGGTTGAGGGAGTGGCGATGTTAGGAAGAAGAGAGGAGAGAGAAGATAGTAATGAGAGAGAAAAGAAATTAGTGTTTTTAGCTTATTAAGGAGGTTGATGTGCTTTAAGTCCCATTTTATTAATATTGAATCCTGCCACATTATCTTTCCGATTGAATTTGTGTTTGAACCTAGTTAGGTTCAATTTAGTGCTATAAAATTGAAGTTTGGAGAATTTCAAGTAACAAAATTAAAAGCACTAATATGATAAAATGAGAACTCTAACTTGGAATAGATTGGATGAAACTAAAGCCAACATACATATCCTTTAGAGGGTAAGACTACTGTTTATAAATGAGAAATTTTGTGTAGATGCAAAAAGTATTTATTTTTCATTAGATTTAAACTACCTAAATGTGGGTCATTGGATGCCTTATATTAATTTAGTGAAATGCAAAAAAAAAAAAAAAAAAAAAAAAAAAAAAAAAAAAAAAAAAAAAAAAAAAAAAAAAAAAAAAAAAAACATGATCATGAAAGATCAACTGCAATGTTTAGCAAGAAAAAAAAAAAAAAAAAAAAAAAAAAAGATTTTCTAAAGTCCTAAAAATAAAAGAAAATTAAGAATATAACCGCATGACCTGCCTAAGCACATTAGCATATCCTAATGGTATGCAAAGAGAGTTTTAGTGTTTATGCAGAATTTTTGTATTGTACACGATAGTAAAAATTTGTAGAATTTTAAGGGACAAATTAAATCATTCATATGAAAAATGAGACCCCTAAATTGTGGAGTTCTTCGCAACATATTAGCGGGTTGGGTTGCTAGGTTCATTTGTAACATTGGCCCATATTCAATTCCGTGCTCTGAATTGTGAAGCCTTTATGAAGGCCTTCGATTAGCTGGTGGTTTTGCTATTCCTAAGATGTTAGTGCAGTGTGATAATGTTTTGGTTGTTGCTGCTATAAATGGCAAGGAGGAGGTTTCTAGTGAAGGTTTGTCATTAGTCTCGATCATCTATTCGTAATATCATGTACTTGGGATGGGATTGTGCTCTTTCTCATGTCGATAGAGAAGTAAATGTGAGTGCTGATTTTTTTATCAAAGCTCAATCCTATCTTTTGGATGTTCATCAACTCACCGAGTTGCTTGCTGGTCTTCAAGATTGTTTATTTTATGATGCTTTTGATATTGCTCAATCAAGACTTTGTAGCTTGTATTTAAAGCTTGGCTCTCTTCTTTTATCTTCTTCATTTAGAATTAAAAAATGTGCCTCTTTATATAAATCTTAAACCTTATTTATATCCATAATCCATTTTCAGCTCTGAAATTTTATTATTTTAAAAATTAATTGAGGATAATACAAATAACAATTATTTATTAAACTAATAGTTCAGTAAGTACATATTTTGGAAAAAAGTTCAATAATTAAATAGAAAACATTGATGTTGTTTATTTACGTTTAAGACAAAAATCGCTAGAAGGAGGACTTGAACCTCCGACCTTGTGGTTAACAGCCACACGCTCTAACCAACTGAGCTATTCCAGCTTGTTATTTAAAATTTAATTTCAATTATACTTCTCTTTTTAAAGCCCTCGAAGTTTTTCATCATTATGATATTTATCTGAATTTTTTTTAAGACTAAGATTTATACGGTTGGAATATGAGAATTTTATTTATATGCTCTTTCATTGTTACCCTAACTTGTAACCTTCTAATGAAGTATTGCTTTCTTCAAAAAAAAAAAAAAAAAAAAAAAAAAAAGACCTATAACATTCTAAAATATTACATATTAGTTTTCAATTCATTCTATAGTCGAAATAAACACTATGGATAAAATTAATTAGTCATTTCTTTGAAATTTACTATGAATATCCAACAGGAAAAACATATTTCATTTTATTTTAAATATTTTAAACCTAAATAAATCCAAATAATAGGAATAATTGTTTAATTCAAAAAATATATATGTGTTTTTCGTTTTCTCTGCAGATTTGCCTTAATATTTCTAACAATATATTAACGAATATCAAATTAATTATATTTCATTGGATGACATGTACAGTTGTTAAAAAAAAAAAAAATGCACATGACTGGTACAAATAAATTTGTTTACCAGAAACTACTCAATGTGGCAAATGGCATGTTACCGATTACATCAGATGAACAAAAACCACTAAAACCAGAATATTTTAGGTAGATTCCATAATTGTGTTAATGTCTTCTTATATAATTATTAAAAGCAAAGCAAAAAGTGAGAAAAAGCAAAGAAAGGGAAACAAATAAAATTTGTGCTTTGAAGTATATGCTTTAGAAGATCCTCTCTTCATCATTTCTATTCCTACAAAACAAAACCCACATATCACACCAAGTTTTCACCCTCCACTCCTTTGGAGGGGAGAAAAAGCAAAGAAAGGGAAACAAATAAAATTTGTGCTTTGAAGTATATGCTTTAGAAGATCCTCTCTTCATCATTTCTATTCCTACAAAACAAAACCCACATATCACACCAAGTTTTCACCCTCCACTCCTTTGGAGGGATCAAGAGATTGGATCCTCCCTACAACATAAACATCCCCCCAATATATTCTCATTTTCTTCTATCCTATGTATTGGTATGGGTGGTCGGAGGTGGCTGCCGCCGGTGCCAGGGAGCCAAGGTGACAATTGAAGCAGGGAAGATGAGGATGAAGAGGGATGTGGAGAGTAATTAAGGTCATGATGGTTTTTAAACCATTAGGGCAACTATGATCCTTTGGCAATATGTATTATTATGAACGTTGCTGAACACATTTATGTTACCATGTTATTATAATGGGGAATATATATATGGGTTTTGCTTTTATTTTACTAAGATGTGTTTTCCTTGTTTTCAGTTATTTGAGAGACAAGAGGAGATCATTTTTTTTTAGGTTTAATTTTACTCTTCGTTGTGTTTCCTTAATGGTCAATATGTCAAGAATGTGTTCTTATATATAAAGAAATCTACAAGTCAGTCTTAAGAGGGTTTTCTCTGTTTCTTCCTCTTTCATTTCATTTTTTTTTTTTTTTTTTTTTTTTTTTTTTTTTTATAAGGAACGGAGCAACAACAAGTTTGAACAAGAGGAAATTTGTTTCTTTTTTAATTAGGGAGATAAGGCAGGGGGTTGGGTGGAATACCTTCCTTTTTAATTTGTTTTTCTTTTTCTAAACTTTGTCCACCTAATTTTGAAAATTTTCAGTGGCCCTATAATATTGGAAAGTCCTACCGTAGCAAAAAAGCGACAAACAACTGGAGCCCCACAAAAAAAAAAAAAAAAAAAAAAAAAAAAAAAAAAAAAAAAAACAAACAAACAAACGCAAAAAAAAAACAAAAGAAAAACAAAATTTAATAGATAAGATTATATCCAATGTTCCCCAATTTTTTTTTTTTTTTTTGTTTCCATTTATGTTATGGAGCGCAATCTTTTGAAACAGATCAATATATTACAATGGCAACATAAGGCTATTGGTCAAAATTTTCTTTGGGCATTTATCTTATAGGACAACTTCGCAGCCAGTGTTCCCAATTTTTTTTTTTTTTTTTGTCCATTTATGTTATGGACGCATCTTTTGAAAAGATCATATATACAATGGCACATAAGCTATTTCAAATTTTCTTTGCATTTATCTTATAGACATCCAGCAGTTATTTGACAAAGATTTCTATCCTTATAAAACGTTCATTTAATTCACTTAAAATTGTTATTTGCCTGCGCTATCATAAGACAAGCTCAACTATTAAATTGCTCAGGTAATTATAGTTCCATTTTTATATGAAGTCTATATAAACTTTTTCCGATCTATAACCACCGGTATCTGGTAGTCCAATAGACTTTGACCAGCTCGAGTATAGAGCAGTGAAGGACAACTTTTTCAGCATGGTAATTCCCTGAGTATGACTCTTTTTCCAAAGCTCAAACTCAACACCTTAGTTAGAGAAAAGAATGCCCAACCACTGTATCCCGGTCAATATTATCAACATAATTCAAAGTGTGAAAAGCCCATATCAATTGTTCCAGTGTCATAAAAACTATTTAAATCCCTAAAATATTTAACGTCATTTAGTCATGTACTTAATAGATACTTTTATCACTCGGTCATGGAAATTCCTGTTTGTCTGATAGACAAGAATTAGAAATCTACGAAGCGTGAACTAAAAATATGATTACATTCACTTCTTATAGATTTGATCGATGATTGAATGGATTATTAGATTCTACACTCTATATTTGTTTGATGTCAACTTTCTCTCAATTCAACAAAGGGTAAACTGTTCTCCAATCTACATGCTGCCTATTTGACATTCCATTCGAGCTGCTTCAGCAAATTACAACAATAATAAGATGCAAGCTACCAGAAAATGAAATGCAAAATCTTCAATTCATAACAAGTTAAAAAAAAGCAGCACTAGCTTTTGTAGAAAGCATAAATCAGACGAAGCACATGGCTAATCCTATGGCAAACAAGTTCAAAGGCACAACCAAAACTCTCGGAAGCAGAATAATTTTTCTCTAAAGTGAAAAAAACAAAAGCTGAGCCTAGTAAAAGAATCCAAGCACTTTGCCACCAACATTCTTTCTTCTCGCCTCTTCATGATCCATAATGCCAGCAGAGGTAGTCAACACAATATAACCAAACTGCAATTTTAAATCGATGTTAGGTGTCAAGACTGAAATCCATATGTATCACATAAAACTCAAAGAATGCACCTATTGCACAACATCAAGCTTTCATGCATGTCACTTCATGTAAGATTAAGTACTTAAATGCCAAAATGTAAATAGAAGTTAATACAAACTTAACTGAAGCATAAATGGGTTATTTTCTTGTTTGTTACAGCATAATTAGCTTGATCCTAATAGAGTAACTCTTATTTGCATCCTCCCAACAACTTGATATTAACAGTGAAGAAAAAATAAAACTGAACTTAGACATATTTGTTTGTTTACCTGTCTTGATGGAAGAAGCCTTGCAGTCCATCCTTCAATTTCTTTGACACCGATATCAAAACGAGGGCTGATAACTCCACACTTGTTCAACCTCCCATTCAATTCAACCACAATTTTACCAGCTCTATGATCATCAACATACTCAAACTCGCCAATGTATCCTTCATAACAGAACCAAAGAGATAACAATCATAAACCAGCACAAATTTCCAAATTTTCCATAAAATATTAAAGAAATGAATAGGGTGAAAATGAACAGATACCATGCTTTTGCATCACCAGCAGAAATTTGATGATCACTTTTGAGGAAGGCCTGATCATAACCTGGCGCTTCCCACGCTTTTCAGCATTGTACATGCTCTTCAAAGCATCATTCAAAACACTAACTCTCACCATGGTTGCTGCAACACATATTAGAGGAAATGTCAAAAATTGCAGAGAACTTTATATATAATTGTACATGCTCTTTGCAAAAGCATGCATTGCAAAAACACTAACTCTGGCACGCATGGTTGCTGCCAACACATATTAGAGGGAAATGTCAAAGAATTGGCAGAGAACTCTATATTATATATATACTATATTACTATATATATATATAGTATAATATATAGTATATATATGATATATATAATATAATGAAGAATTTAGATTAACTAGTTTTAAAACAAAATATTTTTTATTTTCATTTCATAACAGCAAGATATTACCAGCCAAAATACATAATTTTTTTCTTCAAGATCAAAAGGGAACGAAGAAATATTAATTCATAATCTAATAGACCAATTGAAATACCATTTTCTAAGAATGTAATAACAAAGCATAAAACTCTATTCTAGCTGGTTATGGGCACAAGTCGCGAATCAAACATCTGTCAATTTCAACAACAGATTTATCCCTAGAAGCTCATAATTGCAACTGTAACAACAATGATTCGCCAAGAAGAATAAGATAAATCACATATACAATCGCTAAAAGTTTTCCTACGATACTATTGGTAGTCGTCAACATCTCGTAGCACAGAAAGAATAATCCATTGAGAAATTTGAAAAAAAAAAAAAAAAAAAAAAAAAAAATGAAAAAAAAGAAAAAAAAAAAAAAAACATAAAACAAAGATTTTTAACATTGATTAAACAAATATACAAACAAAGCAGAGAGCATATATAGGAGATAGAGCGAATAACACAGAGTAACTTACCGAAAAAAAAAAAAAAAACATAAACAAAAGATTTTAACGATTGATTAAACAAATATACAAACAACAGAGACATATATAAGATAAGGAATAACACAGAGTACTTACCGGATGCAGAAAGCAGAGAAAGAGAGGCGCCTCCCTCCAAGCAGAATGAAGAGAGTTAGGGTTTTGAGAGAGATTATAAAACGCAGAAGAAAACTATTTAATGAGCAGGTTATTTGAAGCCATGGGCTTGACCTAAATATAAGCCCAATTAGAGTCTGTTCTTCAAGACTGTCCTTCAATTAGAGTCTGTCCTTCATAATTTATTAACAAAATTATGAGAAAGTACATAGTTAAATACTTATAGAATAATTTTCATAGTTTTCAAACAGTATTTTATTTTAAATTGACGATTTCAATACATATATAATCAGTAGTTTAAATTTATAACTTTTTGTTTATATTATATTTTTAAAATTTATTTGATACTATTTAATTAATTTTTCTTATAAAAAGATTATTCAGATTTTTAATTTTTGTAACTAATAAGTACATTTTAAACACTTAGGCAAGACATTAAAAAACAAAAATATAAAATATATAAAAAAAAATTGCTAGACCTCCAACCATTCAAATGGTCTTTTGTTACTGTGTAAGCCGAAAAAAATCAAAAATGGTTAATTATAGTACATCTTTACAAAGCAATGTAGATACAGTTTTCAGAAGTCTCATTTGGCTTATAATCTAAGGTTAAATTGTCAAAAGAAGTCAAAATTTACCGTTAATGTTGATTTTCATTTTAGTATATATATAATTTAAAAAAAAAAACCACCCACGAGACAGATAAGTATAAAAATTATTAACCTTCATAGTAAATTTGTTTGCTAGAAATTCAAATCTATGCTCTTGCTTATACAGAACAAAGTCTAATTACCACCTCCGTTAATATATTATTTATTAAATAATAATATATTTAGAGGGATGAAAATATTTCCCGAGACAAGTGATAAATCACGGCTGCACTGAACTGCATCAAATCTTGACTAATTAATAAAAAATTGCATTTTTCTTCCTTAAACCTTACAAATTTATTTTATAGTATGCATTGATTGGCTATCTCCATTAGGTTAATAATTTATTAGTTAAATGCGCTCGTGGAGCTAGAAATTCATTTTAAAAAATGTTTGGTCATATGGGATCTGATAAAACCATGATTTTTCATAATTATCAAGTGATTTCTTTATAATAATAATAATATTATTATTATTATTAACATGATACAAATTTGAACCCTTATATTAAAAATTATACTAAAAATTACATAATATTGGAATTCGTTAAATTAGTCTAGAGATACACAAATTAGAAAAACTTCACGGGCTTAAAGATCATTATAAGAGTTCGTGAACATGTCTTGATTAGGATGACAGTTTTATGCACCTCGTTTTATACTCACTGAACTTGATTCAAATGGATTAAAGTAAACTCTGTTCATTTAAAGGTGGGTGGATATGAATTTTAAAAAGTAAAACCCTATTCATAACCATTTCATTTTTTTTAACTAAGCCTGTACTTTCTTTTTTTTTTCATAATCTATCTCTCGTGATTTATCTCCTCAGTCAGACATGATTGGTTTATTGAATCGCCGATTTTGATTCACTATCGATTCGAACTAAACCGGTGGCTATATTTATTCATCACACTTCTATTTGGCCGTGGAATGACAAACATGTATTTTATTCTCCAGAGCGGTAAAAAATTAGAAAACCTATCCCATAGTGATTCATTGCCATCCCCAACTCTTGATTTGATGCAAGTTATTTCACCTTCCCAATCGGTGCGAATTTTGTACATATAGGTATTTAGTACGAATATTAAAATTTGGCCAAAATAATGTCTAAGTGATTTGGAAAACACAGTTCACCGATTTATGGTGCTGTGAAGTGCTTTCAAATTACAATAATGGAATTACAAATAATGGATGTAAAAATTTATGTTTCATTTATTTCCATAAAATAACTTGTATTCAAAATAATTTACTGAAAAATATTTTTTATGAAAAACATTTTCTTAGAAAAATATTTTTTAAATGACTTATTTTCCGTTGTTTAGTTATAATATTAAAAATTAGTTAAAAATATTAAACTGTTCCTCTCGTAAGACCATACAAAATATTAATAATAATAGAAATTTTATAATTTAAAATTTTTATTGTTCAATATGAGAAGAATGAAAAAAAAAATGTAAATTATAAAAGCCACTGGTGGCAAGTGGTAGTGGTAAATAGTCATTAGTGGTGATAGTGACTACGATGATTAATAAATTAAAAAAAAAATATGAATTTATAAAGTTTATCAATATCCAGAAAATATTTTACTCTTTTAAAAATGAATAGTTATTTTTCTTAAAAAATGATTTAATTTTCTTTTAACCAGGAAAATATTTTTCATTGACTTATTTTCCTGAACGCCACAAACAACAGAAAATTGTAGAAGACATTTTCCTACAAATTATTTTACTTTACAGAAACCAATGGAGCCTTAGATGGAAAAAAAAAAAAAAAATCTTTTTTAACCAGGAAAAATATTTTTCCATTGACTTATTTCCTGGAACGCCACAACCAACAGAAAATTGGTAGAAGACATTTTGCCCTAGCAAGATTATTTACCCTTTAGCAGAAACCAATGGAGCCTGTAGAATGGAAAAAAAAAAAAAATAAATAACAAGTCCAGATGAGTAAAAAAATAAAATATATATATAAAAAAAAAAAAAAAAAAAGAAAAAAGGAAAAGTAAGTCGCTGCAAATTTATTAATGAGCTTTTGACACTAACACAGGGTGGTATTAAAGTGTAAAAAAAAAAAAAAAAAGAAAAAAGGAAAAGTATCTCAACTTTATTAATGAGCTTTGACACAACACAGTGGTATTAAAGTGTTCCCAAGATAATGATGCTATATGAACTCTAATCGCAGCCAAAGTAACCCAGAAAAAGAAATTAATTTTCATCGGAGCACAGGGTATAATAATAACATTAACCAGCAGTTCCTGTATCATTCTTTACCCACTGGTAGAAACAATAATAATTTCAAGTAACGAACAGAGCGCATCAACAGTCTTCAGCTGAGGCAATTCGTCTATCTTTGTCACTCAGGTCGCATTCCAATTCCTCAATTGATTTTCCTCCCGAGTTTGTTGAATCCTACAAAGTCAAACAAGGTGCCATTAGACATGCCACTCAAGCAAATTGTCCGCAGGATGTTATTCTGATACATGCTTTTACTAATCCCACAAGAACGGTACAATCATGCAAATACATAGCATGACAGATAAAATTGAACAAATTGCTCCATCTCAACAACTGACAACAGAATATAGAAGCATGTTTCCATCAATAATAGTTTCAGTTCCCATTAGAAGGGTATTTTTCAGACCATAGCTCTGGTAATGTTCCAGGTGAAAAATGGTTTTGCAATGCCAAAGGATCTGTTGCAATTTTTGAGTAATTCAACTACAAAAATTTACAATTTATCATGGAGACGGCTCATACAAAGTTGCACACTCCTATCCTCTCCAATGAATGCCCAAGAAAAAGAGCAAAGGAATTTGCGGCCCTATAAATGGATATGAGTTGATTTAAAACTAATCATCATACAATTCTGACCTCAAAGACCTGTCCCTTTTCATGTAGAACCCTTTGTTAAAGTGCCTTCACGTTCTTGGCGGCGGCGTTCTCTCTGAGATACATCAAACACAGGCTATTAACAAGATAGATGAAATAACCAAACATTAGGTTTAATCAGTCAAAGGAGATATATTTATGGACTATTTCTCAGACATCTCGAGACCTCAACAAAATGCACTAATTCCAGATATACAGATTTACAAGATGGAGACTTCTCTTGATTATTCTTTTTATATGTGAAAATCTTGGTAAAATACTCACAATTCAAACTGTATAGGTTCCATTCATGTAAGTAGTTCTCTTTGTTGCTAGTGGTAGTGATCCACTTTATTAGTGAAGAGGCACCATAATCATGTTACTTGCAGAATAAATACATCAACCACGAAAATATATGATAACTGACAACTCTGGAGACCACAGGCAAAATAAATCTACTTCATTGAAAAACATATTCGGTGGGCAAAAGGAAATTTTTGGGATCACTACCAAATGGCTATGCGATACATGTGCTGCAAGTCAGTAGAATAGACTATAGAGCACCTAATCCGTGGAAGAAAAAACCAACACGACAATTTCTTTTGTGTATTTGTATGTGTGTGCTTTCATTATGTTCCTTCTATTTGATATTGGTAATGGCACTAAGGCAAAGTTTTGAAAGGCAATGATTCCTTGTGTGATATTAAATTCAACTTTTGCACAATTCTTTGCCCTTAGAAAAGACCATCATGAACCACATATCCAATCCTTGGTCACCTAATTCATTCCCAGCAGCTAACCAACCTCATATATTTCTTCCTGATTAGAAATTAACATCAACCTTCTAAGAACACACACATCAAGAAGAGTGATGTTCATAAAAAATGTAAAACCATAAATTGTGCGACCACGGTATTTAAAAACTTAACATTGAAAGCATGATTTACTTACACTTGAGGCTTATTTGGTTCATCTTGGAATTGGAATAAAAATGAAATTGTATATGTATTCAAAGATCACAATCCAAGAACTAATAGAATTTATTGGTTAGATTAAAATTATACTTAAAAATTATATCATTTCAATATAAATTGCATTTATTCAAACATCAAATTATGAAAAAAATTTGGATTGCTCGTGAACCAAATTAAAAAAAAAAAAAAGTTAATCCTATCTCAAGAAGAGCATTTCATTCTAATTCCAGAGCGAACCAAACATAGGCTTAAGGAATCGTAATGCCAACAAACTTCTAAATCAAGCTAAGCATAGTGGTAATCAACATAGAAACTGCGAGGCTTCTGCTAAACTAGCAGTGAACAAAGATAAATTACTTAAAGTTCTCATTCTGAAAAACCTTGCTTTATATGCAGGTGTCTACACAGATATTGTTATTCAAGGAAGGGCATTAGCCATTTTCTTAATTAATGCATAGAATATGCAATATTGAATCATAAATACTGATGATGATCAACATTCTGCTGAGGTAAACAAAAAATTTTATTATATTTTTTGTTAATCAAACTCCAACTAGGGATTCAAACTTCAAACCTCAACTAAAGATGACTCAAGGATCACTAAGCCAAAACTCATTAGTGGTAACATAGCTATTAACCTACCAACTAGCATGCATTCATTTTAATTTGATATACAAATTCATAATCCAACAACAGTAACTGCTACATCATGCAACTATGTGTTTCCATAACCTTATAATTAAAGAAAAAAGATTAGAACATACCCTTCTTTCCCAGTAAGGAAGAAAGCAAACAAAATCGTAAACAGGAGTAATAGTTGACACCAAGACGACATTGAGTCCAGTAAACACCAAAAGTGCTGTCATAGGCCGTGTTCTATGCGGCATCTTTTTTTCTTTATGTGTATAGGTTTTTGATCTACAAACAAGATATCAATAGAAAAGTAGCTATACAACAAAAATATGAAATTGTAATTGACACCACAAAAAATTGAATCGACAAAGATAGATAAAAACCCCAGCAACAGAAATGCCAAATTTTACTTACAGTGACTGCAGCTGGAAGCAACAAGAGAGAGCTGTACGGAGTCTCAAGCGAGTTAAGAAAGCGAGGTGCAGAGCTTGAGATTTATGAAGAAAGTAGAAACCCTTCTTTTATTTGGCTTTGGGCTTTGATTAAAGTGATGCTAGCTAACCCGCCATTTGTACGTGTTTGAACCTAGAGGTTAGCAAAAGATCGACTAGGTCAAAAACCAAACTTGATCCAATCCAAACTGAAAAAATTGACATTTTTTGCAGTAAAAACCAAACCAAACAAGAATGAACAAACCAAACTGAACCAGTTCAGTTCAGTTTGGTTTATTTAGTTTTATGATTCTGATTAAAGAGAGTTTTGATCCCAATGAAGCAATTTGGCTTGGGATTTTGTTTCTTAATGAATTGGCAAGGCTTACTACATTGTAATTCAATGGAAATAAAAGAACTTTCATTTGCTTCACACTAGTTTGTATGTTACACAAATACTAATGTTATTATTCAATGAATACAACTCCAACTATAAAAATGAAAAGAGAAAACACAAAAATTGTTCACTTAGGAAGACAAATATCTACAATAAATCTTTAAAAATGGTTCCTCTTCTCATATTGGCTTGGGACTTAATAATAAAGATTGGGCTCTAGTGACTAGGTAATACAATGTACAGAAGATGACTCCACTTTGACATGTTAGGAATTCTTTTTCTTGTTTCTTTCCCTTTTTTTTCTCACCCCATGAATATTTATTATTTTTAATTTCCTAAAATATATGTATTTTTCTATAAATTTAATAAATAAAGGCACAAATAATATTTTTAATTTTCATATTAACTTCATTCCACCTATGTATGCCACTGCCTAGCAGAAAAAATGCAAAATAGATACATCCTATAAAGCAGACTACAGGCTAAATGTTCGAGGAGATACTGCTCTAACAGTGGCCTCACACACCTCAGTTCATGCCCTGATAGTGGCGGCATTGGTAGAAACAAAAGGAAATGATAACAGCGCTAATTATAGAGATGGCTAATAGTAGCACAGGCAACAGAAGTGCAACTGAGATGAGGTGAACACCACCTAATCGATCCAGCCAGAGCTCAAACAGATAAAAAGATTACAGGGATAATGAAGATGATAAATAGAGTTCAGTTCAATCACTCTTCAATTGAATAATCTGCTGCCTAAACTATTAAATTATGACTAACATTAAAGATAACAGTACCATTGAATAGCATGAACAGTTGAGATCATCAAATAATCACTGACTTGATAATATAAACCAGATAGCATTAAAAAATTTACTGCAAGGGAAATGAAATCCACATCTCTCCAAGGGAAATAGAGCAGGCAACACAAACCCAAGAGCACAAAACACACTTCTTCCTACCAAAGACAAGAAATCTGCAAAATTAGGCACCAATAGAGCCATCAAACTTACAGCCAAAACAACCACCCATCTCAGCCATAAACAATACCTAAAATTGCACAATCACCTGTCAGCCACCTCATAAACTGGGCTCATCATCAAAGAGAAAGTAAAGAACAGATTCAAAGTTTCAAACATAAACCAAATGGAACCAACTAGCTAACAGACCCAGGCCTCAAATTGGTATAACTCAGGCTATTACAATGTTTCATGAGCAATCTACTCTTCATTCTTTAATCTTTATCACTAAATTTCAGCTGATGTGCAATATTTCCACCATGATAGGCTCAATGCCTTAATTTATCATTCCTAAACAAATACTAGTATCAAATCCACCATGATGAATCAAGCTCAATTACTCCTCTTTTTTTCAGCAACAGATCACGAAGAGAAGTATACAATATGGAATAAAAAATGGATACAGAGCATAAATTATTAGGAACTACACATCCAAGTATTGAGAGGTATTAGATTTGAATCTAGCAAGAACCTGTGGGCTGGAATGTTATCCTCTCCCCATACAAGTGTTATTTCGACAAAAAGAAGTGGAAAGCAAGAGTAATAAACTTCCAGTTTTGTAGAATCAAAAACTAAAAAAAAAAAAAAATCAGTAAGCTATACAACTGAAAGAATTAAAGAAATACCTCAATCACAAGACTTGACACCCAGAAAAATAGGAGAGCTGGAGAGAGGCACCAATACAAAGACGAAAACGTATTTCCTACAAAGCCAAAATGACAATATTTGAAACCATAAAACTACTTTAAAAAAAAAAAAAAGAAAAGAAATAAACCAAACTAAACCCTTAAACCATATTTATCTTACACTATTTTTTAAGAATCTCACACTAGTTTTCTTAAGTTCATTATTTACTCATTGGTTATGCTCATTCATTTTTTTATAAATATCAAATATTTTTCTTTTATATTATCTAGATTTTTATAAAATTAAAGCATTATTTTTATTGAGAATAAAATAATTACAATAGCCGCATATTGATTTTTATATAAATCTTAAAAAATACATTATCTAATCAAAATATAGTAAATTGGAAAACTAAAAAAATTATATTTAATAATATCTGTTTATTGATATATAAAATCTGTATCAATATTTAATGACATATAATTAATATAATTAAATTTTTTAAAATTCTTTTTTACTACATATTAATTTCCAAAAATAAAAAAATTCGTTATGTGGTTCAAATAGAAAATAAAAAATTAAAGAGAAATTTCAGTATTACTTTTTACATGTATAGGGTTCTTTTTTTAGTCATTGTAAAATGAGTTAATTTTATATTTTTAGTTAATTCTTTAAATTTTGTATTTGCTTTTTTTCATATGATTATTAAACTATTAAATTATGTGAGTTAATGTGCTAATAAAACTTGAACATTAATTACGTCGTTTTTATTAATTATGCATTTTTTAAGACGATTTACATATATGGCATTTAATATGGTATAATAAAGGAAGGTTGAAAAATGATAAATATTTTACAAATAACAAATAAACTAGTAAAGTTGAATATACATATACCAATAGTGTACTATCCTGAACAGCTTAGGAAATAAAGTGCATAATTCATTTACTCATGTGTTAGAATAAGTGATGGGAGGATATTTTGCTCGATGTTGTCATATGGTGGTTGCAACAAAAGAAATATATAAAAACACCAAACAACCAAATCACCAATTAAATAAAATAGTTAAAGAAAAGGAAAATATAAATACCACTTATAAAATTCTTCTTTCAAAAATAGATAATGAAAAGTATTACTGGTGTGGAACTTCTCAAAATAAAATATAGATTCTCATACTCACTAAGACAAGGTTTCCAAGGCAATACACGAGATATCACAAGATAATAAATAAAATTAATTGGGAAGCAAAGAAACTCAATAAAAGTTAGTTATTATTAACGAATGGTCTAGTTTATAACATTAACTAATATCAATATCAATATCAATTTGCACCTGCCATAAACATTTATCTAATATCTATTCGCATTCCAACTCAATTCGACCATATCAGAGGTATCTCATACTTACTTCTCCAATACACATATATTCAGTAAACAGGATAACAAATATAAGTAACCTCATTCCTCCCATTAATTTGGTATTCAAATTCATTTTTTAGGTAACTAGTCATTTAACATTAAATTTACAAACCAAGAAAATAAACCAAGTGGTTCACGTCCATCAAATATATAACTATTCTCATATCGGCAATTGAAATTATGTGAATTAACAATAACGAATACATAAGTAAGTTTGAATTAAACAACTAGATTTCAGTTCATGACTAAAATTCTCATGTTGGATTCTATGCCCTTAAACATTTGTTAAATTCTAGACTAGCTATTAAGAATCGATGGTTCAATTAAATTAGAATTTAATAAAGGCATCTTCTAAGTAACCAAATTCACAACTTAACTATATATCAACTAAAGCTTCATGAATCTTTCTCCATCTTGACATAAAAATTCCCTTTCTAGATATAACCAACACTAATCATATAAAAACAATGAAAATATATGTACATCCATTATTACATTAGTTTATATATAAAATGGTATCAATTATCTGCAATAGCAACTGCCCATCAAACACTAGGTTCTCCCTTGCTTAAACTTATATACTATGTTTACCTCACTAAGAATTTAATTCACGACTTCATTTGGTTTACAGTTCAACAATAGCTCAAGCAATTGACAATATTGGTTGCTGCCACCCTCACGCTATACTTATTTCTAAACTAAAATCTCCTTATTCATGCTTACCCATTAAATTAGCTATTAATTCAGACTAAATTAAAGAACCAAATTCCCTCAAAGAATGCATAAACAATAAAAGCTAGGGTCTAAATTTTCCGCAATAGCTTAATTTATGCTTCAAATCTTTCATTTTCAATCAAAATTTCCTCAATGGTCTAGCATATATAGTATATATATCCTATTTAATTTATCTAAAACTTAGACTGTAGTTCCCATTAATAATATTTATCAAAATTTCTTAGTTAATTTGCATAACAGTAGCTAAAAATTTCCATTTCTATATCATCTCTCCTAATCATGATCAAAATTCATGAAATGTATTGAAAAGGATTGAAAGTTAATTTACCTGGCTACAAAATGCATCGGAAGTTGAATAATTTCCGGTTCAAGTCATCGGTGGTAACCCAAATACCCAAAATCCGGCTCTGCCGGCGTTAGCTTGATCGGAACTGACGAAAACAGTGGCCGGCGAAGCTTTTAGCGACAAGGGAAGGGTCTAATCGGCCGGTCTTTAGTTGGTCTTGCCGGAGAAGCAGAGGGTAGCGCTGAAGGAGTCTGCCAATCGAAGTGAAATCGCAGCTCACTCTTGCTGCGCTCGCCGGAAGAGGAGAGAGAAGATGAACGGCGAAGGGACGGAGCAAGGAGCTCAGGTCGGCGTGACTCGCACTCAGGTGCCCGGAATCGCAGGTGGAGCTCCAATCGCGATTACACAGCCTCCTGCTTCTCTTTGACTTGCGCTGAAATCGAACGGAAAGTCGGAGAGAGGGAGAGAGACCGGAGATGCTGCGGTGAGGAGGCGGCAGCGGCAGGGAGGCGATGGTCTCAGGTGATCAGAAAAAAGGGGGGGTAAGGGGGAGGGGAGTCTGTCGCTGTAAAAGAGAGGGAGGAGGGATAAAATGGCCAAACAGTAATTTTGCAATCTTCTAGCGTTTCTAGAGTGATTTCGGTCCGATTTGGTTCCGGTTCCAAATCGTGGATTTTGTTTGATTTTAATTGGTTTATGGGTTTCCTAAATAGGTTTGGGGTTTGTAATTAGTTTATATTGGTTAAGAGGTTTGGTTTAACATATATAAAAATGTATATCTTAATTTTTGTTAAATAAATTCACAATGGATTAATTTAATTATTTTACATATAATAACGTTCTATAATATCATTGGCTTAGAATTAATAATTAAATTTTTAAATGAAAAATTTTGAAAATAAAATTTCGCATTGTTTCATTAAGCATTTTAAAATTTTAAATTTTATCTTTACTAAATTTATTTTTTTTCGGGTCGTTTCAATGATATAGAAAGTTTTAAGATAATTAATTTTGAAATCTTGATATACAGGGGCGACCATTTCATAGTTTTCGGAACCAAAACTGTCGGTTCAGAACTGATGGAAATTTGAATCGTGAGGAATCGAAATCAGAACAGGAGTTTGCGGTCCGATTCCGGTTTCAACTTTTGAGGAACCGTGGACAGGCTAGAACAAGTAGTTTTTCTAACCGGTTAGAACTAGCGGTTCCAACCAATTCCAACAACTTTTTTTTTTTTTTTCAAATATTTTTGTAAAATCCTCAAATTAACTCTACTAACAACTATATAAAAGTTAATTTTAAATGTATATGTGAAAATTTGATTTTTTTAGATTTACTCTAAATACCCCTGCTCATTTTAAAATAAAAATTAAGGTCAAGCCTTTTTCTAAAAAAAAAAATTAAGTTCAAGCCCTTTTTCTAAAAAAAGTAAAAATAAGTTCAAACGCTTCTTTTAAAACAAATAAATTAAGTTATGCCTTTTTATTAATTTTTTCTTAAAGTTTTTCCTAAAAATTATTTCATAGATATTTTAAATTCTAAATTTTCAACAAAAAAAATGTTCCCTAATTTTTTATTTTATAATTATACGATTCGCCAGAAAATTAATCGAAAAATCGGCTAGAACCGTCGATTTTAGACCGTTAAAGAACTGAAATTAAAACCATAACCGTTTGATTCCAAACCATAACCTAAACTATTAGTTTTCAATTCAATTCCGGATTTAAAATTTTTTTAAATCGAAACCGTGTCCACCCCTATTGGTATACTAACTATTCATAATATTTCGAATTTAGGATCTTTAAGGATATATATTATACGGAAAGACAAGAAAAAAATGATACTAATTTAACTAACTTTCTTTAAGCTGTGTGAAAACATTTGGAAATATAATTTTGGGAGAGACGACTAATTACTTATCCTTTCTTAAGTTTTTAAAATGACAAACCAAAAAATATCTATCGCTTTTAGAAGTTATCTTATCTAAAATTATCATCATTTTTTTTTTTTAGAAAAATCAAACTAGAATTTCATTAATTCTTAATTGGAAACTATATACATATATGGGATACAGATCAATATATTTCTATATTTTGTATAGAAAGCCCAATAATAAACAACTTATACAAAGAATAAAAAAATATATAATATTGATTTAAATTATCTGATCGATTTGACAAAGTGTAGACGATCTCTTGCTCCACTTGGTGGCTATCCATGGCCATTGTTCGACTCTGTGGGCTTTTTATAAATCCGATCTAATTATCTTCAAATTTCTTCCTTTTATTGGAAAGGAGATCTGCACTTCTTTTTGTATAATTATCCAAATAATAAAAGACGCTAGACAAAATCACTATAATGGTAATAACAATAACTCAGAACTAGATCTAAAAATAAAATCTCAATATATGGGAAATAATAAATCCCAATATATACGCGACAATAACTCAGATCTATAAATAGATCTGAGAACAAACCCCAATATATGGACAATAATAAATCTCAATATATGCGCGATAATAACTCAGATTTATAAATAAATATATTTATAAATCTGAGTACAAAACCTCAATATATGGACAATAATAAATTTCAATGTATGGACGACAATAATTTAGATCTATAAACAGATCTAAGGATTATTGGCAAAAAAATCAAATAAAAAAAGAAAATGGGTGACTACCAGTAAAAATACACCGACGTAAACTCACCGGTTGTTGCCAGTAAAAGAAGGGGAAAAAGATTCTAGATTTTTAGAGAGAAAGAGAGGAGGCGGCAGGTTCTAGGATTATCATTACTTTGAGAAGATTAACATATATTTTTTCTTTCAAATTTACCTTGGCTCTACCAAACAAAATAAATTATTATATATAACTTTCTAAAATCTCTCTTATCAGCTTCTTATTTCGCTCTCTTAATTTTAATGGTAAATTGATGGAGAAACTTTTTGAGATCAGGGCAATAATTAGATGAGGTCGGTGTCCTTCAATCAAATTAAGAACTGCTTTCTCTATCTATAAATATAAATTTATTTCTATAATTCTCTTATCTATAAATATAAAATTTATTTCTATTTAATTTTATTAAAAAAGCTTATCTTTAGTTTTAAATTACAATTGGTATAAGATAAAAGATAATTAAATTAAATTAATAAATATTTTTTTAATAATTTTTTTAATTGCACTTTAAAAACAGTTAAATACTTATATTTATAGACCGTATATTTTGTTACAAACGTACCATTGCCATTAATTTTTGTTTATATTTTCAGACCGAGTATTTTGACTTTTCATGGAAAAAAGAAAAGATTTAACACCTCTTTAATTATAAGAAACAATCATGGCTAATTGACTAAATCACCTTTTGATTAAACTCTTTGTTAATAAAAAAGAGGATAAAGTTTGACAGAGATAAGATAATCTAAATAAGAGTAAAATTAGAATAAACTAATTGAGGTTACGGTTTATCTAAAAATTGCATTAAAAAATAGAATAAAATAAAGGTTCAAAAGAATATATCTTTTTGTCAACGTTCAATTCCAAACAGAAAAAATATAATATAATATTTTTTAATTAATTTATTATTTAAAAGGAATATGAATTTTTTAAACTTTATTAAAAAATTTTTTAACTTTATTAAAAGATCAGCGAATTCTATTAATTATTAATAGTAAAGTTTTATGGTCGGTCTATATGATTATTTGTAATTTTTGATATTATTATTAATGAATTACATTTTCAAAATAAAATAAAAAAAATTCAAAATTACGAAGCAGAAGTATTGTAATTTAAATAATTTATAATTGTTTTAAATAATTTATAATCCACAAAAATGAAAATGCGTTTATGTTCCTAAAAGTTTCACAAAGCATTAGTTTTTTTTCTTTTTTAACCAATGAACGAGTGATTTGGCTCATTTATTGACTTGGCTCATTTACTAACTTGTCAATGAATACTATTAAATGTAAATGAGTTATGATACCAATGTAATTTTCTAAATCAAATACGCCTTTCATTTCCAAATACTTATTTCATTTGAAAAAATACTAAGCTCACAAATATTTCTCATATTTGTGGATTTCATAAAACCAACAAATTAAAAAAAAAAAAGAAAAAAGGAGGAGACGAAAAGAAAGAAAGAAAAAAAAAAAAAAAAACAAATTCTAGCTCTGCAAAAAGCAAAACTTAACGGTGAGATAAAAGCTGTCGGTAAGACCGTTGACGACGGCCCCGGGACCCAACACGCAATTCCCCACCTTATATTACTACAGCTACTCCAAAAAAAAAAAAAAATGGAAAAATAAAATTTTTTTAAAAAAAAAATGAAAAATAAAATTTTTTTTATACAAAAAAATAAATTCTTTGAAAAAGAACCAAAAAAAATAAGAAAAATGAAAGTGCTGTGATTCCCTGCACTCGATCCCTTAAATTCAATGGGTGATCCCACTTTAATCTTCAACCGGATTCGAATTTATCATCTCGGCCCATGGAAACCGTCCCTAGTTTTGATGCTTTTTAAATCAAAAATAAATAAAGGGCGGCCTTATAGTCAGAGCAATATTTGTTAAGATCATAGCAACAAGCTTACTAAAATTATAAATTGACTATTTTACCCTTCAATTCCAACGCCAGTCTCTTGCAATTGCCTCTTTTAAAAATTCAATTTTCTCTCTTCTTAGCAAAGGAGGCCACGGTTCCGGAACCTAACAGATTTGGTTTCAAAAAATTTAGAAACAGAATTGAACTGAAAATTGACGGTTTTAGTTACGGTTTGAAATTGAACGATTATGGTTCCAATTTCGGTTCCTTAATAGTTCCAAATCAACGGTTCTGACCGGTTATTCGGTTGATTTGTAGATATTATAAAATCAAAAAGGCTTAACTTAATTAATTTATTAAAAAAAAGGCTTGAACTTAATTTTTTTTTAAAAATGAAATGGGATATTTATAGTAAATCCAAAAAATTAATTTTTCACAAATACCCTTAAAACTAACCGTTATATAGTTGTTAGGAGCGTTAATTTTGAGATTTCACAAAAATATTTGAAAAAATAAAAAAATTATTGAAATCGAGTGGAACCGCCGGTTTGAACCATCAGAACTGTTGGTTCTAACTAAATCGCCGGTTCCAGCCAATTCTGACCGATTCTTGAAACCGCTGGTTCACGGTTCCTCAAAAGTTAAAATCGAAACCGAACCACAGACCCTGGGTTCTGGTTCCTCACGGTTCCAATTCCAATTCCATCGGTTTCAAACCGGTAGTTCCGATTCCAAAAACCTAAAAATGGCCACCCCTACTTCTTAGCAACCATCAAACAACTTGCGAGTTCCATAGCCAAATTTTGCTTGAACAACTACAACCTAGTCCAAGACTCCAAAAATCTACATTTTATATAAGGGATAATATTATTTTTGGTGTCTCAACTTTTGATTGTTTTTTATTTTAATGTCTGAACGGAAAATGCTATCAATTTAGTGTCTGGATTTTTAATTTTTTTTCAATTTGGTGTCTCCTGATAAAGTGGACAGCTGAAAAATACATTAGAATTATGTGGGACCCACTTTTACCTATCTAGACACTTATTTGGCCTGAAGTTTAATACACATCATCATGCCAACGTGGCAAGTGCTGGAAATTATCATCACGAGTGTTTTCCTAATCAAAAATTTTATGGATTGGTGAGCTATTGATAAGTGTTATTTTTATAGTATTTTTTAATATAGTTTTATTAGGATGATAAGTGTTATTTTTATAGTATTTTTTAATATAGTTTTATTAGGATTTTTTATTGATTTTATTACTTTAATTAGTTTTTATTCAGTTTTATTTATATTTTTTGTTTAAAGCTTCCTTGAATCATATTTTACTTAATCTTGGAGAATTTTGTAGCATTTTTATAGAAAATCAACCAAAAGTGCAGAAAAGAGTATTGCTAGGTTCAGACTCTAGCACGCCCTGGGCGTGTCATCTAGCACCTCCGTGCTGTGTTAAAGTGAACAGAGACTCAGGAGATAGCACACCCAAGCCGTGCCAAAGAGCATGCCCGTGCTATAAGAGGTTGTCGATCCTTGAGCATGCTCACTCCAGCACGGCCCCTGCTGCAACTACCTTGAAGTCTCCAAACCCTGGCACACCCAAGCCGTGCCAGAGAGCACGCCAGTGCCGCAAGTGACTGTCGATCCTTGAGCGTGCTCCTCCAAGCACGGCCTGTGCTGCATTCACCTCAGGGACTCAGAGCCTAGCACGTCCAAACCGTACCAGACAGCACGCCCGTGGTGAAGGTCAGACTTTACCTTGGTGACGAAAACGTTAGTTCTAGTCCGTGCCACCTGTATAGACCTGCATGAGATGCGTTTCTGACGTGCCAATCAAGTAAACCCTATTTAGATGCTAAAAGAGTCCTAATCAGGGAGAAATACCAAGCTAAACAGTTTTCTACCTCAAAAAGATTTCTTACTCAATAGGAGATCTACTTTCCTAAAAGGATCAGGAAGAGATTTTCAGAAAGTCTGTAAAAAGAGATAGACTAGCTGTGATTGGGGGTGATTTTCTATATACCATCTTTTGTTCTATTAATTCCTACATAGTTTTCTCTGTTCAAGACTTCAAGTACTGAAGATTGGTGTAAAGATTCAAGGAAGCCGTTCAAGCTTATCATCGACTAGTTTTTATTCTAAACTCTCTTTTTGTTTGTTATTCTTATGGAATTATTTACAATTTCAATTGAGTTTTATTTAATTACTATGTCGAACTAAACTCTCATACTAGGGATTTGATGTAGCTTAATTTCGATTCCAATTGGATTTGATGTAGCTTAATTTCGATTCCCAATTTATAATTATTAGATTGCTTTTCTTTTGTTTCAAGATAAATTATTATGAACTTAATTTTGGCCTTTTTCCAGGCAAAGTTTTTTGTTCCCTGGATTGATTTATTTCATTAATTCACTATCGGAAAGAAGGGTTTTGATTAATGAAAAAAGTAAACAAATTACATGGAATAATAAACTTGATGTGAAGCTATATGGTTTGACTCACGGGAGGTTTTCATAAGTTAAATAACCTAGGTTTATGAATTCATAATCAAACCATAAAACTTAATGATTTAATTCATTTTTGATGCACTATTTGGAAGATAGGTAATTAGACCGGGTTAAAATAACTAAACAATACATCGGCGGAGGAGCTTGTTAGTTGATTTTAGGGTTGTTCCCCTTACATTGAACCAATTAAAACTAATTATCAAACTAATAAAATAAAAATAAATTGGATAGAATTAAGTGAAATCAAAATCCCTAGTAGTTTTTAATTCTTGGTTTCTTTTCATCGAATTGTCTTGCTTGATTTCTTTTATTTCACTTTTACTTATTTAGATTTTCGTTAAAATAATTCTCCTTTTTGTCGTCTAAATAATATTAAGTTAACACAATTTTGGTACTTGGTGTACAATATTCGTGGGACGATACTCTACTCACTCTTTATTACTTGTTTACATTTTCGTACACTTGCGAAAAAGCGTGTCAGCTATCACCAATGGTCATCCCTTTTCCTTTTAATCCAATTTTTTTAATTTTCTTTTTTTATTTTTTTAAAATAATTCTTAGATTTTTGTCTTTTGATACAAATTTGAGTTATTATTTTCAATATCTTGGGAGTATTGTTATATATATCTTGAAATTTTGGTACTTGATCCAGTTGATTTGATAATTTTTGAGTTTGTCATCATTATGGTGAGTTTATTTATGGTATTTTGTTACTTGAGCAGTTATTCAAAAAGAAGTGGAAATCTCATTTGTGATACTTTAAATGCCTAATATCAATTATTTGGATGTTAAATCAAGACGCTAGCTAGAGGAGTTTCATATGTTAGCTTCTCATCATCATAGTACATCATCATAGCTTAGGCCTCCACTTAACCTTATTCCAATTAATTTCTCTTAGCATAATTTAATTCTCTTAGCATAATTAAACTTCAATTTGCATTGTAACTTAAAATTAACATTCTTATGTTACTAGATTAAGGTAATTCCAATTATTCTATCCTTCCGAATGGAAATAATTACCATAGTAATAAGAATATTTGATACTGTCAAATTGGGGATATTACAGTCAGGGATACCTACTTGTATACCAATCATGTCTTTCACTACCGAACCAAGCGTATCGAGCTTGAATTTCATTTTGTTCGAGAGCTTGTTGCCAAGAAACATCTTCAGATTCGTTATATCTCGTCCAAAAAGCAAATTGCAGACCTTCTTACTTTAAGTTGTGTCACGTTCAAGATATGCTTAATAATGTTTAAATAATAAGATTAGTGAATGAAATAAATGTTATTTAATAATAAAACGTACAAAACAAATGTGATTTATTTTCTTTACAACAACAACGATGATACTAAGGATGATGATTACTGAAAAATAGTTCATTTTATTTTAAACCAATTATTTGTTTTCATTGTTAAAGTTTATTATTTTAATTATTTGACTTATGCTCCGATTATTTCCGTAAAATGATTTGCAGGAAAATAAATTGCTGAAAAATATTAATGATTTGCAGGAAAATAAAATTGCTGGAAGAAAATATTTTGCCCAGTTAAAAATATTTCCTTGAAAAGTATTTTCCAAAAATGAACTTAATTTTTCATTGTTTGGTTGGTAAATAATTGAAATTGTAAGTTTAAAATATGTAAAGTCCCTTGTATCTCATAAGGCCTATAAAAAATATTAATAATAAATGTAAATTTTTAATTTAAAATTTAGTGTAATAAATATGAGAAGAATGTAAAAAAAAAATGGTAAATTATGAAGTACCGCACAGTTGGCCGATGGTAGATCTGGTCGGTGCGTAATATGGTGAAATCGGCTGATTAATGACAATGATTAATAAATTAAAAAATATTGAATTTATAAAGTTTGTCAATGTCCGGAAAATATTTTACTCTCACGAAAATGGAAAGTTATTTTTCTGAAAAATGAATTAATTTTTCTTTGATGAGAAAAATATTATCCGTTTACTTATTTTCTGAACGCACCAAACAACAGAAAATTAAGGAAAATATTCTTCTGAAACTTATTTTATATAATCTAAAGCGTGAAGCCTTAATATGATAAATATTTCTATGAGGCTCTGAATTGAAACCCAATTCTTATTACGACACATTTAATTTTTCCTTATCAAGTGGAGAATAAGTTATTAACTTTTCTTCCAAAAAAAAAAAGTGACTAACTTAATTTTTTTTCCTTTCAAAAAAAAAAAACTCTTTTTTATTTTATACATGCAAGACTTATTTTATTTATTACATGCCACAGAAGAAGAAATAAGTAAAACTGAATGAGAATGAAACCGTATGAATAAATAAAATAAGTTTTATTTCAAGGACTATAATTTCTCTTTAATATTGTATATTGATGTTATTTTCAAATAAGCAAAAATCAACAAACTTTCAAACAATTTATCAAAAAAATTGTATATTTTTTACAAAAATAACACTTTCAAATTTATCAAAAAATTTATATTTTTATTATTGGCTATTAAATCAAATACACAACATTTCAGATGGTGTTAAATAGGTTAGATATTTAAGTCAGGGCAATGAATTAGGCAAAAAGTTGATTTTCATTGCATTCAAACTATACAGGCTTAGATCGTTTCAAGATGAATAGAAATTTGAATGAATTGTGAATTGAATTTGAGTGGATGTTGAATTTTTCAGTTGGTTAAAGATTTGCGATCTTTGTGTATAGAATATAATTTTAATTCCTTATACATAGACATCTAAAAAAAAATTAAAAATGATTTCGATCTATTAGATCTTTCATATATTAAAAAAAAAGTAGGAATTTGGAATGAGTACAGACTTAAGATAATAGAAATAAATCATTAATTGTACCAACTTTACATATCAAAAGACTTAGCATCTTATTTAGTTATTTCCAGAAAAGAAAAGAAAAGAATACATACTTTAATTCACAACATTATACTTGAATACTCTATAAAATGGGATGTTCATAAATTCTTTCTAGCTCATTCTTAGAAACCGAAACCCACTTTATAATTTTTCAAACACAAAATTAAGACATGGCTATAGAGTCATTTGCTTTAAATATAGCCGAAAAAGCATTGGAAAAGCTAGCTTATAATGCTTACAAAGAGATCTGTTTTGCATGGGGTTTTGAAGGGGAAGTGAAAAAGCTTGAGGATATCTTGTCAACTATAGAAGCTGTGCTATTGGATGTAGAGGAGAAGCAGGCAAAGGACCGCGAGTTGCGCCTTTGGTTGGCTAAGCTTAAAGACGCCCTTTATGATGCTGAAGATGTTCTTGATGAATTAGAGTGAGAGACAAAGAGAAGGTGTTCTTGATGAATTAGAGTGCGAGACAAAGAGAAGGGAAGTGCTTAAATTATATGGAAGCACCAGAAAAAAGGTACATGCCTCTTAATTGTTTTTACTCTTCATATAGGACAGGATAAGATTTGCCTAGATTATTAAAAGTTTTTTTTTTAAAAAAATGATTACTCTTTATTCTTTTATCTCCGATTAGAAATATGTTAGGATACTGAATTGTAAATAATAGGTGATATGGCCATTATAAGAGTATAAATATTGATATAAAACCAATTGTTAGGAAAAAATCTAACTAGAGTGATTGGGAAGAGAGAAAATAGAGAGCAAGATAGAGAAAAATAGAAACAACCTAACTCCTTAACTAATTGCTATTATATCCTAGCAAAATAATTTCATTTGATTCAAAAAATTATTTTTAATTGATTTGCTGTATAGGATGGATTCATACATCGAATATAGATAAGTCATTCTCCTTCATATATATAATTTTCAGACTTTATATCGATAACGCAGAAAATAATTTCGATATATGGCAAGATTTCCATTTCTTGTTTTTTCCATTTTTTTTTTTTTTAAACTGCAGCGTTCAGCTTATAGCTTAATGGCATGAGACAATACTAGTTACCAGTTAGTAACTAGAAACAAAAGGCAATAGAATCAAATTACAGAAAGACACACACATGCTCATGAACATGTAATAATAATTTCAATTAGTATTACTTATTAGTTTAATAATACTTCTCCAATCAAGTGTGATATGATTAGTCTTTCTACCTTTTATAGAAAATATAGGGAGTTAGAGGTCTCGAGTTTTAGTGAATATTATTTAAAGGAAAAAATTACCCCTGCTGTGTAGCCCATAATATTATTTCGATCCATTCGGTTTTTATGTATCCAAAAGAAATTTAGAATACAAAACTTTTCATCATATCTCAACCCAATTTGTAAACCCAACCTGAATCTGTCCGCCCAAACTCTACCTGAGTCTAAACCTGAATGACCCAACTCTGGTGAGGGTCAATTGTGGGTTAACCTAGAACCTAAGTAGGTAAACTTGTTGACCTCATTTCAAAGAACCCGATCCATCTAACTAGACCCGAAATTGTCACATGCTGTTCGACATATATAAAAAATAATAAAAATACCAAATTTTTTTTTACTGAAAAAGAATGTCAATTATTATGTGGTAAATCAATATTATGATACTATAATAAATATGCTTTTTGCATTAAGTTATTTTAATTATTATACAATCAAATCAATTCAGTTATTATTATTTATTTTTCTTGTATACAAAATAATAAAAAAAGCTAAGCTAGTTCTGTGTTCTCTAATTAGTCGTTAAAAAATAAATATTTCGCAAAAAAAATTAGGTTTTAGTTCACAATTTTGTTTAAATATATATGTAAAGTCATATAATTTAGAAGAGAACTTTCAATAGCATGGATAACCATTTAGTTTGAAAATAAAAAATGAATTATTTATCATTCATTAATTTTCTACAATTATTTAGAATTTTATAAATTATATGTACAAAATATTTAACGTAGTATGTCTAAGCCTTTTATTAGTAAGATCTATATTCTTAATAGTTTTAAAATTTAGACATTTATAGGTTCAATTTTTGTTAAACATTGAAGAAGTTATTAATTGTTATTATTTCCCAAACAATATTTTAATTTTTTATTATATAATGCTAAATGGAATTGTTAAAAAAGTTACATTTTCACATATTATAAGTTTTTATTGTAAATAGTTTTTTAGATTGCACCGTTAGTACTTATGCATTATACTCAGAGTTTAATTTTTTAAAATAATAAGAAAATTGGTATTAGCTCATTATATAATAACTTAATATTAATAATTATTTGTTTTAGAGCATCATTTATAATTTTATATTTTTTTTACTTTTCACTAAAGGGCGTATAAGTAGATAATTAATTTTATGGTTGTTGTTTTTGAGAAAAAAAATTATTTCAATATATATATGGTTGCAATATATTATATTCATAATTTTATATTATATTTAATTATATATATACACCTATATATATATATAAATATATATATATATAGTTTTGATTTTCTATTTTATATTCAAAGTAATAAATCTTATAATATTATTTCTTAATTAAGATAATAATATATTGCGGCATATATTTTATAGGTATAGGTTATTTGTAGGAAATAATTATTAGGAAATAATTATAACTAATTAAAATAAAGATTTATCAAAAATAATAACTAAATGTATTGTATTCTTAACATATTTAATATGTACCTTATATAGTATAATTTAACCTTTCAAAATTAAATTACCTTTTTTTTCAACCAATAAAATTAAAATTCTTAAAACTTCTTACTGCATTTAATATATACCTTTATCACGACCCGATTCCGTGGGCCGGACCGACACTAGGGCCCAGGTAAGCTTAAGGCTCCCGAGGCCCGTAGTAAGCCTAAATTATCCAATCTATCTACCTATCTGTCCCAATTTCATCAGAACAGTGCCACCATATGACTTTAAATATACAGGTTTGCATAAAAATTTTTTCAAACATCTGACCAATCTCAAATAAATACATAGAATTTAACCAGGCTTTTCATAATAAATATAATCATGAATATGACTTACTGATTCACCTACCACTAATTACACAATAATTGAATTGTATAGGGCGTAAGCTTTATAACAAGTAAGACCCCAATTATAAAAATACACACCTAATAACTGCCGTAGTTCAATTAATTATCTGAAAATTAGAGTATTTATACCATCCAAAATTTTAATAACAAAAACAATGATAAAGTTACCATTTACAAACTCTGTGGAGCAATATTGCCAAAGCTTTTCGAGTCGAATCAGGCTGCTTCCCTATTACCTGGGTAAGGTTTGTTGGGGGGGGTGGAGTTTTGCCAACTCACGTGAAATAATAATAAATTATACAACACCACTAACAGATCAAGCAAAAAATGCACCCTGCGTTACTGAATTGATACACAAACAGTCAATCATTTATTGACATTACCATCAGCACCCACAAACAATATCACCTTCAAAAATAATCACATCACGTGGGGAAATCTAGTCAGTGGAGTCACCGAAAACCCCCGATGAGCCGTCCTCCCACATGGGCTCATCCTCTTCACATTTGTGCACCAGGGACGATCCGCCATTTCTTGCCGACCGGTCTATCCTCACTTGGACCAGCCCTCTCATTTGGTTTTTCCATTCTCTCTAATTCACTTTTCCATACGAACATGGAGGTAACCGGTCGTTCTCCATTTTCAAATCTAGATCAATCAGGCGCCTCCACAAACAGGAGACCACCCTGCGGGCTGCGATCAAAATCTAGATTATCAGGTCGCACCAATAAGAGAAACCAACCTGTTTGGTGTTTACAATATTCACACCAGCATAAATAAAGAATAAAATGAGAAGGCGGCCGATCTCCCATTTACCTGCCAAAATTTACATAATCATATTCAGGCATCCATATCACATGTAACCAATTCTCCACAAACCCATTGGTGACCAACCCACTTCATCCCAATTCCACACAAACAAATCACAGTATAGTCACAGCACAAATAATCAGACAATTCATTCATCATAATACACCAATTTCATCCAAGTGCACAATTAAACATCCATTTCTCGAATGCAACTAAATAATTAAATAGATACTATTAACGGTAAACAATAACGATAAAATAAATGATAATAACAATAAACAGTAGCAATGAAAATAAATAAATAATTAGAGCACTCTATTAATCATGTATTAAGTTATAGAATTAATCTAAATAAACTTATTAATTAAAACTAGTCTAGGTTCTATTGAAATTTCGGCAGCATCCCCCCTAAAAATAGGACTATCTACCTGTTTAAATATCAATCGGAAAAAAAGGGAATTATATTAGATAAAATATTTATCATTCACACTACTAATCTTAACCGTATTTAATTTCTATCAATTAATTTACTCCTATAAATAATTAAATTTCGTATAACGAATTTATTTTGCTACCGAAATTCATTTTATTTTCTACCGAATTTCGAAACATCCTTCCCTAAAAATTGGGGACTATCCACCCTGTTAAGAATATCAACAATTATCTTAATAACTCCAAACCACACAGGCCCATCCATCGTGGGCAATCAATCAAATAAAATGATTTCCCATCCTCCTTCCAAATCTCAACATCCTCAACAATAAATTTTAAAATTTACAATAACATTATACCTTTAAACTACCTTAATCTACCCTCTTTAATTCTATTCATATGTCATTACTTTCAAGGTTCATATAATTACAATTTCAACACGTAATATTATTTAAATCTACTTAAAATAAATCTATTAACTACTCACAATTACTAAATTAAATTAACTAAATTAATTAACTACGCAAAATAACTAAAATTAAATGAACTAAATTAATTAACTACAATAATAAGATTAATTCAAGTAACTAAAATTATTAAAATTAATTTTTTTACCCCAAATATAATTTTTGTCGAATTTTGCTAGATCAGGAGTTCTTACGCGTGCCGGATCAAAGGGCAGTAACTGCCAGTGGCCAGATCCAACTGACAGTGGCGGAGAGAGGCGGAGACAGTGGCGGTGGCACACAATCTGGCAAAGGAGCGGCTGGTAGCGAGGCTTGAAGCTGGTGCTGCTATTATAGGCACGACAGGCCTGGCACAGGGCTGACTGTGGTGCGTGGAGGAGATGCGGGATGTGCTGGTGTGCGATGGAGGCGGTGCGACTGCAACTGGCGCGCGGTGGTGATCGACTGATGTTGCTGGAGCTGCTGGAAGTGACGCAGACACGGTTGCAGGGAAGAAGAAAGGGAAAGAAAGAAAGAAAAAGGAAAGAAAGAAAGAAGAAGAAGAAGAGAGGAGAGGAGGTGGCGCGGTGGTGGCAGTAACGGTGTTGGACTGCAGGGCTGCGCAGAAATAGGTGGACTTGCCAGGGCTGAAGTTTGCGCTGTATAGAGGGAAGAGGCTTCTAAGCAAGTGGTTTGGCGCTGGATTCGATTCGATTTTTCCAAATTTTTTTTTTCGATTTTTTTTTCGGCCCAAATCTTTGATTTTTGTCTGATTTTTTTTCGATTTTTAATGGTTTTTCAATTCGGGTATTATCACTGTTACAGTACAAATTATTAATTCACATTTAAATATTGAAATACATTTTCCACGCTGTCAGTTTATTAAATTTAAATGAAAAATCTTTAAAAATAAAAATTTGGGTTATTTCAAATAACCAATGGAAAAAAAAGAAAATTTATTGAAACACTGAAGTAGGGTAGGTTCTAATACCATTTTATAAAATAGATTGAATCTAACTCACTTTTCAAAAGTTAACTTATGAGGAAGTGGATAGGTCAAGTCTTATATTTTGAATAAAATAAAATCCTTAATAATATTTTTTTCAATCGATAAACTTAGAATGAGCGTTTTTGACAATGACAATATTCCCCCACTCATTTTCACTTATATATATATTAATTATAGTTATAAATTTATATTATAAATATAGATATATAAAAGTTATTTATTGTCAGGAAATATATAATTCCCTACCTACATACTAATTATAATTCCCAATGTTCCCCTCTCAGTCCACATTTATATATATTCTAGATATAGATTTTATATATGTAGATTATAATTCCCTTAATTCGTCTCACTAGACAATTTGGCTTTCCACTGTTTATTATCATTTATTTTAGAAAGAAAACAGAAATCAAAATTTTAACTATTATTCATAAGATTGCAATTTCTTTTATAAATTTTCTTTTATAAATCGGTAATCTAATCATATTTACCACGTTAGATAGCTTACATAGATTACAAGTCAGGCCATACATAGGCATGTGGGCCTTAATTCGTCTTACTAGACAATTTGGCTTTCCACTTCATCAATAGACACTAAATTGGGAAAAAAAAAATTGAAGTTAGACACCAAAAATTACATTATCCCATTAAAAAACTGCTACTTGTCAAAGATGTGACATTCCGGTTAGCGGAAATACTTAATTACGTTCATAGACATTTTATTGTTACATAAATTAAAGATCGGGTATTCTTAAGTTACAAATTGAAGTTGATACTCTGTTCAATATAATTCAAGGCAATCACTTCAATAGTTAATCAAATGAATAACCCGAGTCATCTGCAATCTAAACTCACTAAATTCGACCCTCTTTCTTTCTCTAAATTTATATTATACTTATTTGAATCTAAATTTATATTATACTTATTTGAATTTCAGGTTGGCCGCTTCTTTTCATCCTCTAATCCACTTGCATTTCGTTTTAAAATGGGTCAGAAAATAAAGCAAATAAGAGAAAGATTAGATGAGATTGCAAGTCATAAAGCTAAATTCCATCTCAATGAACAACATGAAAATAGATACTTTATGCATAGGGCAAGGGAGATGACCTATTCCTATATGCAAGCCTCTGATATCATTGGAAAAGACACAGATAAAGAAACCATCATCAAGCTTTTGATGAAGGATGGGAAAATATCTATTATTCCAATTGTTGGAATAGGAGGTTTGGGCAAAACTACACTTGCTAAACTGATTTATAATGATGATCGAGTAAAGAGATTATTTGAACTTAAAATGTGGGTTTGTGTATCAGAAGATTTTTGATATAAAAATATTAACAGAGAAAATTATTAAATCGACAACCAATGGTATGAGACTTGAGACAGAAAACTTGAGCAATTTGGAAATCGACAACCAAGGACGTGTGTATGATGATGTTGAATTAGTTCAAGTTTGGATAGCACATGGACTTGTTCGATCGATGAATGAAAATGAGCAATTGGAAGATGCGGGTTTGCGTTATTTGAATGTGTTAGCATCTAAGTGCTTTTTTTAAGATTTCGAGGAAAATTGGATTTATTAAGTGTAAAATGCATGATTTAGTGCATGATCTTGCATTATCATTGACACAAAATGAATATTCAATAGTGACCTCTAGCACTAGACAGATCCCCAAAAATGTTCGACATTTGTTATTTCCTGACAATGCTTCACTTCCTCAAGATCTCTCCACGATAAGATCTCTCCATGATTTTACAAGATATAGACCATGCAAGAACAATTGTTTTTATGAGTGAGGAAAGGGATCTTACAGCAAGAATTAATGTTGCGATCGTAAATTTTGTCAAGATTTCAATATTTGCGGATGTTGGATTTTAAGTCATTTGAAATTAGACGTACAGTAGAGAGGAATAGGGCCACTTTAAGCATTGAGATTTTTTCCATTTACATGGGATAATTCTAAGATTATCAAAGCCCTGATTCAATATTTGCAAGTTGCAAAATTTACAAGCTTTGTTACTTTGTCAGGGATTTGAAGAGTTGCGACTACATATAAAGTACCTGATCAGCCTTAATTTTTACAAATGACAACAAAGAGGAGAGGTTGTAAAATAATGAAATTGGATGCTTTTTGAATCTCTTCGATCTTTGTTCATTATTCAATGTGAAATCTTAAAATACTTATGTGAAGAATATGCAGGGCCTTAGCAAACTTTAAAAAAACTAATTATTGTAAGAGTGTAAAAGTTTTAATATTGTTTGCCACCAAGCATTAAAAATAATCTGAGTTCACTAAAAAACTCTTACGATTAGTTGATTGGTGAAAATATTGATTTGGTCTATGGTGGATGAGGAAAGGATTCATCAACTCAGCCTTCAAATTTGGCACTTGTAAGGGTTGCCAAAATTATGTGAATTTTCCAGTATTGGGTTCTCAAGGATCCAAGTACACCTACAAAAACTTACATCTTGATAATTGTTCTAATATTGAAGAAATTAACCGCATGCCTGAAAAAATATAGTTTCTCTTCAACAACTGAAGATTGAAAAATTGCTTTTATGCATTGGCGAAAAGATGTGAACGTGAAAAGGGTGTAGATTGGTCCAAAAAGGGTGAAGATTGGTCCAAAATTGCTCATATTCCTCAAGTTATTGTTGATGGCTACAACATTCAATCCTCGCTTGAAAATGATGATTAGGTGCAAGTAATCTTATTTCTCCCTTCATTTAATTATTATTTAGATTATTTAAAGTTCAAATTAACTATATGACATTTAATATCAGGCTTTATAATTTGGGAAATTTGAAAAAAAAATTTAAATAAAAGAGTGTATTTATGATTCTTTAATTAATATAATTTTCCTTTTAATAAAAATTGAAATTAATTGGTCTAAAAATAAAAATTTAAGGACTAAACTGATGAAAAAATTAATTTTGGATTTGTTTAGATGTATTTAAAGTAATTAAGGGTCACTTTAGAACTCAAGTAAATTTTCAGCATAAGTCTAATTTCAATTATGATATACTCTCATATTTTTAACTATAAAATCATCTTGCTTTTTACTTTTTGTCATTTGCTGTGTCAAAAGTTTAGCTCTTACATTGAAATTAAGGAAATCTTTTTCTTTCTATCTAGCAGAAAACTAGAGTGTCCATATATGGGAAGTTATGCTGCCTCTACATGCTTATGAGTTTTTTACAAACTAAGGTAAATAAACTACTTGTTAGTTACTATCCAATTTAACTTTATAGTGTTCACTAATATAATGTTTGAAGTAGTTTTTAAAGATTAATGTAGCGTTTTACGTTTTATTAAAAAAGTTTATTCATTTTAAACGTTTAGCTTTTTTAGATCATTTCATAAAAACTACTTCAAACGGCTAATAGTTTAAATACTACTTAAAACAGCTAACTACTATTAAAACAGATAATTTTGTCCAACAGACATGTAAACATATAGTCCATAAATTTAAGCAAGAATTCTTTTAGGTTTTAAGTTATTTACCACAATTGCTCTTCTTATTGCTGCCTTTTTAGACCCACCCTAACTAATTTAAAATGAATTACTATGCATAAATTTGATCCTAAACTTTGGTCAAATTATTCTTTATAGGCATTTTGATACTAAAAGTTTAGATTATGATGGATTCGTCACAAAGTTTCAAGGGGCCACAAGAATAATCGTCGAAAATACAAGATTTCAAAATTTTGCATTTGGGCCTATCATTCTATGATGTTGGTAGGCAATTAATTTCCCCAATCAATCATAACAATGAGATTTTAAATTTTTGAAACTTTCTTGTTCTCATTTGCTTATTTCCAGCTTACCATATGCAGGGACTGACTTGAAATGCAGAAAGTTCAATTGTTATTTAATTATATGTCTCTGTCTTTACATTAACATTATGTATATTTAATTTGCATTTCTACATTATTTATATTGTAAATATGCCATCTCCTTAATTATATTATGAATTGCATACATTTTACATGTAAATAATGTTTTGGAAAGATCTTGTACGGGTACTTCATTTTAAGTTTTTATTATGTGATAATTTTGTGATAATTAAGTCAATTTTTAGGAGATTCATGACATCAATTAATGGTTTTCTCAACTACGCACTGAACTCCCACTTATGGATAGTTCTCTATGCAACCAAAATATAGCTTTTATGTGCAACAGATATATATAATCCCAACTAGTTATGTACTCAGCTTGGACGGATTGTGTAATTTTATATTTTTTTTAATTGATTTGAATAGATAATTATTAAGAAAATTATTACAATTTATATTTATGTTGCTTTAATTTAAATGATTTGCTAATGTATTTGATTAAATGATGAAAGGTGAATTTTACATGGTTCTTATGTAATTTAACCGATATAATTATTTATTTTTCCCTTCAGAATTTCATATATTTAACTGAAATACTTATTAATTTTCTATAATAAATTAGGTATAAGAAGATTTAATTACAATGTAATAAATTTTAGTGAATTTTGAAATTATATTATTATTATAATTAGGTTTCACCATAATATTACTTGGTAACTAATTATTTAATTATATTTATTATAATAACTCCCTTAATATTTGATCCATAGTTTTTATGATTCTATGTATTTATTAAAAAACGGTAATGTTTATTAAATGCAAACAAAAATGCAAAACAAAAGATCAATTATAATGGAGTCCATTATAACTCCGTTAGATTTCATTAATTTGTAACTCATTATTTAATTAAAAAAAAACTTAATGCTTATTAAAATTTTAAAAAAAGATTAATTATAATAAGAAAAGATAAAATGTTACATTTGTCACATCACATCCATATTTTAAAATTATAAATTTATATAGATAGCATAAACCATGAATTTAGCTAAAAAAATTGCAGGAAACATGAGATTTGTAAAAAGAATTCCAATACCTAATAAAAAAAGAAATTTCCATAAATTGAAATTATTAGTCAAAAGATGTAAATGAGGATTACATCTAGATTAAAATTTTTGAGAGAACAAAGAGTATTGTCCTATGAAAAATAAAAAAAAAAAAATCCCAAAATAGGTGAATTCAAAACATATGATGATATATAAAGGGAAAACTTGTTTGTCCAACATTAGCCCAGAGATAAGAACATAATACATATTATTTAACTTCATATATCAAGGTTTATCTATAGGTAACGATTGATCTGGATGTAATGCCAATGCAATGTAATACACTGTAACGTACTGACAAATAATGGAATGTAATGTAATTAAAATTTTCATTACTATGTTAGGAAATATAATTGATAAAATTTATGGAATGTAATTCTCATTCTATTTTTATATTGTTTTTAAATATATAATGTAATGTAATTAAAATACTACCGCCACAAATCACACCACCGCCACCACCACCACTCCTTCACCACCACCACCACCACCATTATAACCACCAATTAGCACTACCACCACTCCAACACTACCACCACTCCAGCACTACCACCACCGTCGCCACCACCATAACCACCATACCACCACCTCAAACACCACTATACCACCACCACCATCACTCCACCACGTCATTATTAATACAAAAGAAATATCTGAACTAAAAACTGATCATTATATTAAGCTATTAAAGATGATTTAGATTTATAAATTTATTTGAACTAAAAAGTTAAAAGAAGGGTAAGTCGAAAAAAATGTAATTTAGGGATGATCATTCAGCTAATTCGGTCAATTTGAGTAAAATTTTGAACGAAACCAAAAAAAAATTAATCCAAATTCTTTTTTACCTAACAAATTTAACTGAATTAATTTTTTTAACCGAATTATTTGACTGAATTTCAATCTTTGATTCTTACTGAAAACAAAGTATCCAAAGTTAAAGAAAATAAAAACTTAATTAGCCAACCGAATTTAATTGAAATATATGATTAACCGATTCTAACCGAAATAAAAATTAACCAAAGTTATTAATTACTACTTAATCAAAATAAAAGCTAAAATATTTTTAATTTTTAATTTTATTATCTGCTTAATCAAAACGATGTAGTTTTGAGAGTTTATTAATTTGGTTAAATTAATTTTTAACCGATCAACGAAATTTTAATTTTTTTTTAATCGAACTTTTAACCGAACATTTATTCAACGAACCAAATTGGTCGAATTAACCGAATTGATCGAACCGAATGCTCACCCCTAATGTAATGTAACAAAATAAAGTTATTTAAGTCATTAGAAATTAACTTTTTTTTTTCATATATTTTCATTGTTTTCATTAGGAAGTGAATTAAATTACATATAAATTATGGGTATTTTTGATATGTTTAGTGATTTTTCAGGGTCTATTCTGCTCATTCTATAATAAAATAAAAATATAAAATATAATTTTTTTTTTCTATTTACATATTAAATAACCCAAATTATAATTTTATTATATGGTGATGGATGGTAGAGTGGTTGTTTGTGGTGGTTCGTGTGGGCGTAGAGTGATTGAGGTGCTGTGGGATGGCAGCAATGCAAACGATGACTGGTTGTGTGGTGTAAATGATGGTAGAGTAGAGTGCTTCGTGGTGTGATGATGGTGATTAATGGTGGTGGTGGTTCGGTGGTGGTTGAAGGCGTAGAGGCGGTTTGGAAGCAATGGTAATGGTGGTGGTAGTTTGAGTTGGTGCTGTAAGGTGGTTGATGTGGATGCGCAGTGGCGGTGCGTTGAGGTGGAGGAGCGATTGGTTGTTCGAGGTGATTAGAACAGTTGATTGTGGTGGTGGAAGTTGGTGATAGTGGTTGATTGTGGTTGATGGTGTGGTTGGGTAGTGTAGTTGAGACGGAGGTGGAGCAATGGTGATGGTGGTGGAGCAATGGTGAGGTGGTGGTGATATGATGGAGCAACGGTGGTGGTGAGAGTGGTGGTGGTTGAGGTGGAGGAGCGATTGTGGTTGAGGCGGTGGAGGCGGTGATGAGGGTGGTCGAGCGGTGGTGGTGGTTACGACAGTGGCACGGTGGTGGTGATGGTGGTGTGGTTATGGTGGTGGTAGAGCGGTAGTAGTGGTGGTTATTAAGGAGTTGGTAAGGGGGTGGTAGTTGTGGCGCAGTGGTGGTGGTAGTGGAGCAATGGTGGAGATGGTGGTATGAGTGGCGGAGTAGTGGTTAAATGGTGGTGGTAGTGAGGTATCATATGGTGTTTATGGTGATGGTGGTATTTGGTGCACTGTGGTGATGTAGGTGGGTGGTGGTGGTGGAGCGGCGGTAGTGTTAAGTAGTCTTGAATGGTAAAGTTTTTATTAGAGTAACTTGATGTAATGGGCAATACATGTGTTTTTTTTTTGTGTAATGAATATTACATCAAATTAAGTAATGATGATTACACATGTAATCTCTCAATTACATTACATTGTCCAGAAAAAATCTAACCAAATAATGTAATCAGTCATGTAATACAATCCTCATTCCATTACATAGTTAATTACATCATACCAAACATGGCATTAGTGTAATGAGAGTTAGGCATGAACACCGGTTCGGTTCTAATCAGAACCGAACCGTACTGTAGATGAACCGAAATCGGACCGAAATCGGCGGTTTATAATTTTGAACCGGAACCGGCAGTTTAAGGGCCGGTTAAGGTTCATGTGAATGTTAAAGTATGAACCGAAACCGGATGCACAAAAAAATTGTAGCTTAAAATTTTTATAAAAAAATTTATATCACTTGATTTAATTGTGGTTGATTTGATTTATGGTAAAGAGAAGATCTGGTAAAGAGCAAGTACAATGGTACTAGTCTATAAAAAGTTGGAGAAAAAAATACACATGTTTTCTAAACTTAATTTATACAAAAATTGACATGGAAATACGGTTGATTTATATAAAAAAAAATTACTTTAAGTGTAGAAAAAAAAAGTGTAACGGATAGTTTTTTGATAACTGATAGGGTGTTATTTATTATTTTTTGGTAAATAAATTTTTATTCATTTTTTAATCATTTATTTAATTATTTACTGTAATTTCTTAAATTATCCAAAAAATATAATTGTTTATTTTTCTGTTATTAAGGGATAATTTGCATAAACTAATAAATAAGAAATATATTAAATATTGATGAGTTGATGATTTTTTATTTCACAACCTATTATATCATAACTCTTCTCTTATTCTCAATAAAAATTCTCTCAAATTTCCATTAGTTCATTATTATTTTTCTATTGCTTATTTTCCTTTTATATTGGAATTATCTATTGTTATTTTTTTTTTCTTACATCCCAATTTTCAAAATTCTTTCTCTATCTCAATTTTTTCCATTTCATAATTTACTTTCATTGATTTTTTTTAATAATTTTCTTAGTATTTGAAAATAATAATTTCCAACTCATTCTCATTAATTCTTTATATTCCTTTATAGTTTTTCTATATTAGGAATGTAGCAAAATGTGTAATATTTAATGTAATAATAGTTTCTAAGTTAAGTTAATAAATTTTTTCTTTTTAAAATTTATTAAGGTATTTTATTTAGTTAATTAAATTTAAACATTTTAAAATTATTATTTATTTATGAATTCGGAATCAAGAATTCGGAATCAAAATTTTATTATTTTTTTAAAAATTTGCGTAATGCCGGAACCGTAATTTGAACCGTCGGTTCGCCGGAACCGTGCCGGAACCGGAAGCGGACCGGAACCGGAGGTTCAAGGGTTGGTTCCGGTTTAAAATTTTAAACATCTCGAACCGGCAGTTCACTGAACCGGCCATGCCTATATCTGTTTAAGAACTGGGAAATCTGTATAAGCTCTTAGGATGTTTTTAGCTTGAAATTTTAGTTTCTATAACAAGTTAGTTTATTTTGGTGGAAGGCTATGGTTTAATTTTATATTTCCCAGCTGCATTGATTCGCAATGTTAAGCCAAATTCTATTTTGCTAAATGGGTGGGATAATCATCTAATTCTTTTGTTTCAGCCTCATATTGATCTTTTGTTTCAGCCTCATATTGATCTGATGGTAGTGACTTCCTGTCGTGAGGGCAAATGCAAATAGGATTACTCTTAATATTAGAAGGATAGGTGAAAACATAATCCCACATAAATCCTTCTTTAAACCCGTCTCGTGTCAAGGACAGGTGAAAACAAACTCTTGCCTCACAACATGTTACCCCCTGTATACACTATTTGGGAAATGGGAAATTCTGTGTCTAGAAATTTAAAATGGGAAATTCTGTGTCTAGAAATTTAACGTCTGGTTCTGGTTTTAAGCTTCAAGATTCAGATCACCCAATAAGAAACGAAGGTTACAGAGCTCTACCTTTCCACTACATTGTCTTAATTACATTTTTCATGCGTGCATAAATCAGTGATATTCTTATGTAAAAACTGACTGATTATGTAACGAGACTTCTAATCATTCCTCCTGTTACCTTGACAATATATCTGATTCTGATCACTGGAAAAAAAAAAAGATTTATATGTTTGAAAATGACATCTCGAAATGCAAAGCAAGATGCATCATTCAGGTTGAGATGCTGACTTGCCTGCCAATGGTTATTCACTGAACCGGCCATGCCTAATTAGAGTAGCAGAGTAGTAATGGGAGAAGCAACAAAAGATTGAAACAAAAGACGCTGAATCAAAAGCATTATCAATTCCAATTGCAACTGAAAACAACAGATGGTATTGTTATTCTTCATAATGAATCGTTTCAGCAAGTGGCAACAAGGTCACCAAGACAAAAATGTAAATGACAGTTAAAATCACAACACATAAATTCTCAAATGGAGCTATAATGACAAATAAACATTATCAAAAAACCTCTCAACCAATTCAGCAGTAACTTGTCTAAGCGATTCGAGTAGACCTTTTCCAGCAGGAGACCCTAAAATGGAGGCTGCACAGAGAATCTCTAGCAATTTAATGTTTTGAAAAGATGCCTAATATGTGAAATTTTAGTGTCAGCTATCACAATTCTGTTTTTTGTAGCATCTCAATAGCAAACTTTGTTTTGCCTCCTTTACCGAGAGTCTTCAATGGCACGAGACAAGTGCTCACCTCTAAGGGTTTTAACAGGTTTTAACATCTTTGATTTCGAAAGAGTCTACATATAGTTCATCCAATCGCAGTAGTGCAATAGCATCTATAACATCAAAGCCTAGCATGAAGGCATGTACAAAATCTGCACATTTCTGCAGGTTACTAACATCTAGTGTATCAGATCTGGTTTTTAATTCAACCTTTCTACCCTTGAGGTTCAAACGGATATCAATCTTCATTTGCTCATATAACGGATATCAATCTTCATTTGCTCATATATAGGAGTGTAAATATCCATCCACGCTTTTTTAAGAGGTGAATACCTATGTGGTGGAACCGAAACCTTCCTAAATTGAACTCGACCATCAGACATCTCATGAGCCTTCAAAGGCTCAAACTTTGGCTTCACCGGCAAAGATGTTTCATCTATAACCTTTTCTACTTCCATTGAACAAGAAGCTTCACCAGACTGCATTGTGATTGATCACCCAAGTTCTGGAATAACAAAACATTTGATTAATGATGTAATATATTCATTCAAAAATGCCATTCAAAAAGTTCTAACAATATAATCCTAACATCATAAACCCATGAAAAAAGAGGTCCAATACGAACATGATAACAGACTATAAAAAGAAGCGAATAAATTCCGTGGCATGAAATTCAACACATAAAACAGCAAAATCACAATAATCAATGTAAATTCAGGCCATGATCTTTTCTCTGTTTTCTTTGTAGAATACTATTATCTAATTGAAAAACAGAATATAGGAACAGAATAACGGGAATAAAAATTGCCCCATCCGACAATCTTTTGCCATTCACAAAATCCAAACCATTCCAGAACTGACTAATATAATCTCTACTTCAGTACGAAATCTGAGCTATACTAACTGAACCCCCCAACCCAAAAACAAAGAAAAACATCCTTTCCTTTCAAAAGTTTCAAGGAATTACTTCACCAAAACATTCATGGAAACGATTCGTTCGAATAAAAGTTCTCACAGCAAAATAAAGCTGAATAGCAAACAGCACACAAATTTCATTAATCAACAGCTATTGATAAACCAACTCTGATTTTATGATCCAAAAGGCCATCACTCAGATTCATACTGTGCAATTTGGAATCACAAGTTTTATAAATTTTCAACTGAAATAATTTAAAAAAACAATCATAAATTTGGAAAGCTAAGAATCAAAGAACTATTCATTACCATTGAATTCGGATTTTAAAAACCCACTGAATTAATGGAACTTGAAAAAGAACTGAAAACAAAATCAAAGAAAATTCCTTACTCACCAAACGCGGATATAGCAAGATTTTATCAATGCTTTCGTTTGAGTGTAATGGGGAGCGACTAGATGACTTGGTTTCTTGTCTCGTTACTCTATTCGGCTATAATTTAAAAAATTATAATATATAAAAAATAATTAAAATATAAAAAATCAGTTTAAATCAATTGGATTTGTGTAGATCGAACTATTTAACCATATCAGCCGTTTCAATCTGATTCTATTCTTTAAATGCTTTGAAAGGAAAACTCTGATTTTAAACTGATTCATCAGTTATCTGGATTGACCAGTCTGGTCCGCCCGATTTAATAACTATGGTTCAGATAGCCACTTATAACCGGCTAGCCGTGAAAAAGGTAATAGGTTTAAAATATATTAGAAGTCAGCAGTGAGAGAATAGACTGCTCCCACAAATCACAATAAAAATGGACGCAATAGCTAAAGCTGATCAGCATTCATCAGTTTCCACGGATTTTGCTTCTCAATTTCAGTTATTCTCTTTTTTTCAATCTTTTATTATATGGGAATTGGGGATTTTAGTGTTTGGTGTTCTGTTGAAACTAGTGTTTTGTTCAGTAACTATTTGTGGCATTGTTGGTTTGCATTAGATGTGTTCATTGACGGGATATATTTTAGGCTTGATTTGAAAAACTTAAACCGACATAAAAATTTCAGGTATTTAATCTTGAAAGTTTGTTGCAGATGGTTCAGTAGAAAGCATATAAATTGTACTAGGATTCTAAATTTGAAGAAATTAGCTATAAACAGAGCTGAAATAATTGAATTATAACATTTAAATTATAATAATTTTATATATAAATTCTGACCTATAATATGCTTTGTGCTGCTGATTTAGTTGCCATTTTATATATAATAATTTAACATCTATATGCTTCATTTTAAGTTCCCTTCCCTTGTTATGCAAGTTCTTGAAAATTTCTTTTTCCAGAGGGAGTTTCCAGAGGGAGTGAATCAGATTAAAGAATTAAGAGTGGACATTGATGCATTAGAAACCAATATTGCTGTCTTCTTTTGTTAAAGGTTTCAGTAAGAGAATTTGAACAAAGTGATATATTTACTCTTTCCTTTTGTTTTGTTTGATCAGAAATATGTGGACATAATTGAGAGCTCAAAGTTGTTGACAGATGAACTATGCAAGAGCTTGGAGCAACATGGTATTGATGCTAGATGGCCAGTTCAAGTAATTGGTCCTCAAAAGCTATAATTTTATTATGCTAGATGGCCAGTTCAAGTAATTGGTCCTTAAAAGCTATAATGTTATTATAGATTCTGAAATAGAATTTTTCTATTTTGTTAGTTGATCTGTTTGGCATTGCTGTTATAGTAATAATTGGAAAAATCACTATCTTGAATATGTTGATTATGAACGATCAAACTTGTCTTTAACTTTAGGGCAAATTTAACCCAGATTCGCATAAAATGAATTATCAAGATTTCTCCAAGGATGATCTCAAGGAAGGGAGTGAAGAGGTTGCTAAATACAAGGTGTAGAGACTGGCCCTTTTAGAAATGAAATTACTATTTTGTTACTAATGGGCTCTATGCTAATGTTGTTAGTGTTATGTCTTCAATCATAAATTCTCCATATGTGATGAATGCTTGTTTGTAAACAGACTGATGCTTTTGTGAAAATTTTGAAATTTTACTGTTTTTGCTTGCAAAATTATGTATATTTGAGGTTTTTTGTGGTATGTTAGTCATACTCATTTTGATCAAACTATCAGAATTAAATTTGTACTTTGTTATCAAGCTGTCAATCCTCATTTATTTTGTTCCATGTCAAGCTGCAAGTACAATAACTAAAGGATTGCTAAAACAAAAATAACCTTAAAACTCAATTGTGATTCCTGCCTGTCCACTTGAAATCTTTCTTTTGGTCTTATTTTTGTTTCTTCTTTCTCCTGGACTGCTTAATTCTATTGATTTTTGTGGTTCAAGTAACACTGACACTTACACCAACAAAATGAATTTATTGATTTTGATTGATTTCTTCTTGATTGCTGGCATCGAAAATCGTTCTCCTCTAGACTATTGCATTGCATCAAAATCTGTCTTTGCATTTTCCATATCATGGCTTCATCTCCCTTTCGAAGTGAAAACTTCTGTGATAATATTTCATCTTACTTCATCAAATTTTGTCTTTTGGTATGTGTTTTCAAGTCTTTTGCCTACTAGTTTTTGTACTTCATTTGCTGCTTTATATTCTCCATTCGGCTCACTTTGCTATTGATTCTCTTCCTGTCAGGATTGCTCCATATGTCAGAGTTATTTTCTTTATCCTTTTCATCAGGTAGTAAGTGAAAAAAAAAAAAAAAAAAAAATCTAAGTCTTATTTTTATTAGTTTTTTTAAAACTTGAATTTATTAATTTATAAGTAAATTATATAAAAGTTTATTAAACCCATCAATAATCAATTTAAGTCCTCAAAATTTGATACTTTTTTTAAAATTTTTATAGTTTTGCATATAATATTCAAATTAAAATTTCAAAATATTTTTTTCAAATTTAGATCCATAATTCATTTAAATTATTATGAAAAATATATTAATTTGACTTTCGAAATCATTCCTAATATGTTATATCTGGATTAAAAATTAAATCAATAATTTTAAAAATTTCAAACTATCATCAATCTATAACTCAATATAGGGGTATTATTACTAATAAAAATTTTTTTGATACAAAATTACAGTTTTTAAAGTAATTCATAATAATAATAATTATCATCACGACTACTTGATTAAATGACAATTGGAGTCGGTTGTAAAATTCGAGTTTAAGCCAGTCCAAAGGACTTCCAACAATGCGACGGTGAGTCAGTGACGTTGCAAAGGAAATAGTCCGGAGAACAGAGAGTGTCAAACTGGAATGCTCGTAACTGATGAGCATGACCACTGCAATCTCGATGATCTCTTTGAGACCCATTAGCAGTCGGGTCCATCAAATCCAACAGCACAATCCAATTATTGCTCAACATCGTCCTTCTCTCACGGTTTCCTTCTCTCTGCAAACTCACTGTCAAAAACTCGTAGATGAATTTGACCCTCATATACCCATCGAAAAAGCCTCCACTCCACCCAGCTCCTGGTATACTGATCCTTCCTTTTTTGATTATGAACTCCATCGCGTCTTCTACAGAGGCTGGCAGGCTGTTGGTTAGTTCTATTTTTTATTAATTATTTAGTCTTTGAGACGAGAAAAGTGGGATTGTAACAACTAATTTCCTTCGTTGAATTCCAGGATACACAGAACAGATAAAGGATCCTCGAGATTTTTTCACTGGAAGGTACAATTATTATTAATCGTCAATTTCTTGCCTGCTTTCTTTCAAAATATGCTTTCATTTGTTTCTTATAGAAGAAAAAGAAATGGGAGTTCTTGAATATTGTTCTCTTCCATTCAATTAGCAATCTTTTCCCCATTTCTGAGTACCTAATTGAGAATCAACTATGGCAGATTGGGAAATGTAGAGTTTCTTGTGTGTAGAAATGATGATGGCAAGGTTCATGCATTTCACAATGTGTGTCGCCATCATGGCTCTCTTCTTGCATCTGGAAGTGGGCAAAAGTCTTGCTTTGTTTGCCCATACCATGTGAGTTTACTTACGGAAATCTTCCCTCAGCCCCCTTTCTGCATTTCTTTCATATTGATTAGAAACAAAGACCTGTACGGGTCCAACTAACAGATTTTTCATCTTAGCGTTAATGTATTATAATATTTTGCTATTCAGTGGTAAATGTTAAATTCATTTCCTGAGGGTCAAAAGTTCAACATTATCGTGCTTTGTGTAGCATAGCATTGATGCTTAGGTTCTTATTCGCTATATAGTTGCTAAATTTTCAAATGCTGATTGTGTGGTTGAATAGTTGCTGGTTTCTATGCCTCAATGGATGGACAAAGTGAAGCAACTTCTATGTCATTTGACTGGTGGACCAATGATAGGCTATGATTCAGAGTTTTTCTTTGTCCATAGATGCGCTGGGTTTCTCTGGCTAGGTTGTTGTGATACTTATAGAGAGTGTATATTCTCTTCCATCAACAATGAATTGGGGTAGAGTGTGAAACTAAAATGTTAATTATAATTGTTTGGAAAAGCTATTTGTCAAGACTCATCTTTATAACATTCTATCTTATACCCAGTTGAGGCTAAGTGGACTTTTAAGGATCCCAGTTTACTTGAAATCTCTGAAAACAGACTAGTTGGATGATGCAATCATCAATATATGGTTGCAATATTTGCGTGCTAGGCTCTATGGAGGGATCATAGTTAAAGCTAAGTTGATTCTCTTAAATTTGGCATCTAGCTGTAGCAGACTTGAATGCTATTAGAAGTTAAAAGGTTAGGTGAATTTGATAAGAGATTAGAATCCATAAAATTGTGTGAAGTGGGCTTATTTGGGCTTGAGCCAATCAATGCTAAAAGGTTAGTACTAATCAATTAGCTAGTTACCTTGCCACCCTTATATGCCCTTTGTGGATTTGATATTTAGTCAATTTGAGATTCTTAAGAAACACAATAGAGTAGGTAGGACTAGTGTGTTTTGTTAACTTGAGCATTATCAACACAGTCCTCACAAAGAACAACCACATTTGGGTTAAGCCAAAACTTCCATCAGTTTTTCCATGTGAAACTCATGATCTTTTGAGAGTCCGGGAAGCTTCTACTTTGCAGAATTTATTTTCCTTTAAGGTTTCTAACACTAAGGTTCAGAAGATAATAACTTTGATATATTGGTGTCTCTCAAATCATTGGAGGATGTCATTCTCATCTTTGGGAAGGATAATTGAAACTTGTATCAAATGGTTCTATGTGTTAATATTCGTTGTTTTGTTGGTAACAAGGAGTTATTACTGTAGTTTATCTCTAATATACTCCTTATTGTTTCAAAAATATTTGAAATGTTCTTGGGGTTTATCTTTGTTAAATATCTAGTCCCCACTCAAAAAACATTAAAAAAGCAGAAAATTTCAATCTTTGTCTGAAATTAAATAGAAGTAAGCTGAAAATTTAGTAACCTAGTGTCATTCACCAATTTTTTTCCTGGGGGTCTTCCATTGATGTGTTGGGTCTTTAGGGTCCTCCATTCTTTGAGCTTTGATTTGTAGAGAAAGAAAGAGAGAGAAATAAAGAGGTTCTGGAGTACAGGTAATGATGGTGAACGAGATTTATATGGAAAAAGACAGATTGCTTTACTTTCTGTGAGGGATGGAGAGGAGAGAGAAAGAGGTGCAGTAATGAGAAGAAGCCAAAAAAAGAAAAAACAAATGATTTTAAATTAAACTAATAATACAATGCTGTCATATTTCTCTATTTGTCTAGATGTTGCCTTTTCTCCAGAACTTCAGTGACTGAAAATGCTAATTTTCAAACAACTGGGGCTAAAGTGTATAATAGGGCAACTCTATCGGGGAAAGGGGTTTAAGTTACCATAATATTTAATATCCTTAAAATAAAGCAATAAATAATTCACACGCATACCCAATGGTTTTGCAGGCATGGACATATGGGTTAGATGGAGCACTTCTTAAAGCAACAAGAATAACAGGGATGCAAAATTTCAATTTAAATGTATGCTGAATTGTTAGAATGGTCATCTCATTTTCCATTTATGTATATTTCTAGAATTGATGGATAATTTAGTTGATTCTTTGGCCATGGAGTGTAGGAGTTTGGGCTTATTCCTATAAATGTTGCTACTTGGGGACCATTTATTCTTCTTAATGTGGAAAAAGAGAGTAAACTTCAGCAGGGAGTTGAAGGCAGTATGGTGGAAAATGAATGGCTTGGTAGCTGCTCTGAAATACTGAAAAATGGCGGAGTTGATTCCTCTTTGAATCATGTTTGTAGGCGTGTATATAATATGGAGTGTAACTGGAAGGTATGACCCTTAAATATGAGTTTCCTCACTTCTGATAACAATAGCAGTTATTGGGGATAGGAATCCCTTTGTCCTAGGTGAATGTCCTCTTTAGTTTCTAATTAATTTTCACACAAGGAATTTAAATAATCTATTCATTTTCTGTACAATGAGTTCATGTCCTCGACAAAAATTTGACTTTTAAAACCAGTAGTTAGAATTCCATTATGTTTAACTTTGATTTCATGGACTGATTTCTACACTCCCTTCTTTCAGGTGTTTTGCGACAACTACTTAGATGGTGGTTACCATGTGCCATATGCACATAAAGCTTTGGCGTCTGGTCTTAAGCTTGACTCTTACTCAACTTCAGTATGCATCTCTAGTGTTTTCTCATCCTTGGTTTTTTGTTCTAGTTTTATTACTTGTAGCTCAGTAACTGTAATAGATCTGGAAGACTGCCATGCACACATTTGATATTTCAATTTATTACTTCAAGTATCAACCATGTGACTTTTCATTGCAAGTATGGTTGTCCTCTCACCTAAATAACTGCCATAGGTATATGAAAAGGTTAGCATCCAAAGATGTGAAGGAAGCTCAACACAAAGTGCGGATGATTTTGGTCGGCTTGGATCAAAAGCTTTATATGCTTTCATTTATCCTAATTTCATGATCAATAGGTCCGTGCATAGCTGCTAGATGCAACTATGAATGATATTTGTTGTTTCCATTTTTTTCTTTTATGTTGAGCTATTTCTTGTTTTTATAGGTATGGACCTTGGATGGACACCAATCTGGTGCTTCCATTAGGAACAAGCAAATGCCAAGTGATATTTGACTATTTTATTGAAGCTTATCATAAGGTATTTTTCTAATTTTTTCGGCTTCTTTATCATGTTTATATAGGTATAGGCCATGGATGGACACTAATCTGGTGCTTTACTTAATTTCTGTCACTACTATCTATGTCATCGTTGCTTGCCTTGTGGCTAGTGCACCAATTATCAACATTACACTAATTAATGTATTGTTACATATAGGAGAAAGGATAGAAATGTGCTAGGGAATTAAATTAGCTAAAGGACAATATTAGTTAGTTAGAAATATTCTCAACACTACACACAGCTGGCTAGTGACAGCTAGTCCTTTAATTCCTATATGTATATGTCTCATTAGAGACTAGGAATCATATCATGCAGTAATACAAATCTTCTCTCTCTCTCTCCATCTCTCCCTTTCTTCTTCTCTTTCTTCTGTCATTCTTCTTCTTCTTCTCTTATTCTGATCTACTTTCTATTCTCTATCCTTTCTATTTCCTTCATCTACCCTATTTTCTGCTAACTTTAGCCATCAGTTAGGAATATTCCTAACAACTGGTATCAGAGTAGCTAAGGTTGCTGGATTCCATGAGTAAATCCATTGCTGCAAAGAAAACGAGGGGACCTTCTTCTGAAGGCATCCCTATATCCCTGGAGGAGTTGGAAGACCAGCTTCATTCTCTCAACTCCAAGCTGGAAGAGCAAATGAATTCCAGGCTTGGGTCCATTGAATCTCAACTGAAGGAGCACCAAAACACAATTGAGAACCTGCTGCAAGAGCAAAACAACATGAAGCTGGAGCAGAAGAAATTACAAGTGATTTATGAGGATATCAAACAAGAGAATCAGAAGTGATAGCCTACTTGGCCAAGCTGATTCAAGGAATCCAATTATCTTCTGCTTCCTTCATTCATGAGGCACTTCCTCACAACCTGGCAGTAGCAGAGTTAAGGAAACTTTTATCCTTAACCCTGAATCTCCTGGAACTGATAGGGGAATACTTTCTAACCCTGAGGATTGAGAACATAATGAGTTGATGACACACAGCGGAGGACTTATTTTAATAAGCTACTCCCCAAGTGTGATTTGCCTAACTCTGAGGGATTAGATGCTAAATCCTTGCTAAGCAAGTTTAGGAAATACTTCAGATTTTGAGGTTTCAAATGATAGGAGGGTAGATCTAGCTAGTATGTTTCTTCAGGGCAGGGCTGAGGCCTGATTCCTTAACTGGAGTAAGGGAAAAGAGATATTAGATTGGGATGGGTTTGCTTAGGCTACTTGTCAAAGGTTTAGAGATCAAAGGGAGAATGATATAATTGAGGAAATACAAAAGTTGAGGCAAACTGATTCTGTTGATGACTATCAGGATAAGTTTGTGTCCTTAAAGTTGAGAATAGAAAAGGTATTTCCCCTTCATCCTGAGTCCTACTGTATTTCCTGCTTTATTGGAGGGCTTAAGGATGACGAACTTAGGTTTGCAGTTAAGATGTTCAAACCCTGCCTGCAGGAGTTACATCTGGTAGCTACCATACCTAAACCCACTTATAAACCTAATTCCCTTTCTAAACCTTGGAATCCTGTACCCGATAACCCTACTAGACCACCCAATAATACCAACAAACACTACACGTAATACACCCAAAAACCACCACAGAACACAAATCAGCTAGCGCTTATCCACCAAACACACAAACCAAACAACCTTTTGCTTTCCAAAAGAAACCACCTGGGGCATGCTACAAGTGTGATGAGAGGTATTTCCAGGGTCATGGGTGTATACCTAAGATAGTAATGACACTTCAGGCCAATGTTGAGGAGGAGTTGGAGGATGAGGAGTGGCATGAGGCTGAAGAGCATGAGAATGAAGTATTAGAAGAAACATTAGAGAATATAGCCTTGTCCCTAAGTGCTGTGGATGGGGGATTCAGTCATAATACTCTAAAACTAAAAGGGCATCTACAGGGAAAACCCATCACAATTTTGATTAACACCCATAGTTTTTTAGATTCCAAGGTTGCTAAGGAATCTAAACTACATGTGTCTAAGGTGCAACCAGTCATTGTAACAGTAGCTAATGGTAGAAAGCTAACTATCATGGGGAAGTGTAATGTTTGCAAGTCGAATATGCAGGGTTATAAGTTTGACTTTGATCTAACTGTCATAGAATTGGGGGACTATGACATGATATTAGGAGAGGACTGGATGAAATGTCGCTCACCTGTGACTTTTGGTTTCAAGGAAAACACGCTGAGTATTCAAAACAAGGGCAAGAAACTTGATTTGAGGGGGCTGAGTAAGCAAGTTTCAACAAGGATGATGACCTCAAAAGGCATTGGGAAAACTAATGCAGTTTGGTGGGAAGGGAGTCACAGCCAAACTGTTTGCATTACCCTATCCCCAATTACAGAACAACAACCAGCCCAAAACAAAACCCAACCCTCACCTATGATCACATCCGTACTTTGCAAAATACTCACATATGTTTCAAACACCTACCTCATTACCCCCATTTAGAACATATGATCACTCAATCCCACTGAAGCCAAACACTGAACCAGTCAACATCGTACCCTATAGATACTCTCATCACCATAAAAATGAGATTGAGAAGTGGTGACTTGTGTATTCTAAATAGTACTCTTTTATTGTAAAGGGTTTGCTTTCGCATCTCTCTAAAACTGTTGTCATGGTCAAATCTTGGTTTATTTAATCATTAGGGACTCCCAAGCACATGAATTCTCTATGAATTGAAATAGAAAATTGAGGGCTTGTTATTTAGTGGTGTAACATGACTTATATACCCTTAGTGTTAGAGCTAGGGGGGTTGGGGGGGCCACCGCTCCCTGACTTCTGTAAAATTGTTTGATGGGCACAATGTTTATGATTTACTTTCTAGCTTGGTGGTAAAAACTCTGCTTTGAAGCCTCCAGACTTGAGTTCGATTACTACTGACAATAATTTTACTTTTTAGTTATTTACAACAGTTTTACATTTTAATTAGTTTTTATTTTTTATATGTAAACAATTTTAGTTAATTTATATATATAATATAGTTTTAGCCAGTAGTTAGTTTATATATATATCTTCCCATAATTTTCATAAGTTACTTTTTGTTGCAATTGAATAATTTATATCATTAAATTAATTTTACATTCTTTTTTTAATTTTAGTTTTGAATTTGTTTCCATTTTAGGAATACACAAAAAGTTCACATAAATATTAAAATATACAATAGCATTATAAATTTATAATTCAATTGTTTATTATTGGTTATTTAGTTAAATTCACAAACTAAATAAATTTTAGAATTCTAAATTTGTTGAATAAACACATGATATTTAATTTATTGAAAGATATAGATTTAATTAATAATTCGTGATTCTATTTTAATATTGTTTTTAAAAATAATATAAAAGTAAATTAATCGAATTTTAAAAACACAATAACATATTTAAAGTTATAAACACTAATTTTTATTTTCATTATAATTTTTAATATGTATATTTTAGGAAGTTGATTCTTTCTTTCATATTGAAAGTTGTTATCTATATTAAATATGTTTATCATTTTGTTGCTATTTATAGTGTTTTCATTAAAAAAATTTGACTGCATGTAATATATAGTAGTTTGTGTAATTATATTATTCTTACATGCTTTTTTAATCAAGTTTAATTTCTTAGTTCTACTCGTAGTATGAAATCACAAATATATTTTTGCTACCCCTATGGAAGAATCTTGGCTCCGTCACTGTATACCTGTGTCAACCAATATCAACATTCATGAATATATCTTTATGATCTTATCTATCTAGATTCATCAAAAAATTTTTGGCTAAAATTTGGAGTGAAAAAAAAATCGAATTTAGATTTCTATTTATATGCATATGATATAGGATTTCATCTGATTTTAATATGATAATCATAGTGGGTTAATCGGGACCTGAACCCAAAACTAGTCAAACAAAGTAGAAATTTTCCTTATTAAAAAAATAGGTAAAAAAAACTCTCCTAGTCGTGCTTGCATTTTTCATTGCACACGGCTTTCCCTATGTATACATCTAAAAATTTCATAAATTTGTCTCATACACTATGAAGATGATGAGAAGAGATATATTTTACATCCCAGAGGGGCTATAATTGGAGATACCATTATTTTTAATACATAGAAATGGGAAATGCCTTACCTTTGAGTGCGGTTGAACTATTGTGTGTTTTCACATAGTCTTAGACTAATGTATATAAATAGGCTTGTAACAATTCTTTACCAATATGAATGAGAATTTCTCCACACAACATGACCTTTTTTCGTCTCACACACTAGACAGAGAAAACCCTAGTTTAGGTTAAGCTTCTTGGCAACCATAGAAAGGGAGGTGACTAACACCACCCATTGGAGGAGGAGGAAGAGGAGATGTTAATTGGCCCTTACCTAGAATTCGGCAGCCATCCGACGCTGCAAGTGGGCCCACGCGTTGCTAGAAGTTCCTGGTCTCCACGCGCAGACACATGACGCTGATTTTAACATCTCTGATAGTGACCTAGGCCGGTGCCTCCCCCTTGTGTTGCGCTTCTACCTAGCCTACTATTTCGGTTTGACACAATTTCAAGGTTGTTCTTCCTCTTTGCCTTATCTCGGGTTGTTAACCCAATTTCTCTTTGTTTTCTAGGTATAAATAATAGGTGATGCCTCGCGAACTTGACATCAAGATTGTCCCTTGACATGACAATCCTTCCTTGCAAATCAGTTCGGCCAAGCTGATGGTACAAATTACCTTTCTTGGTCAAGGTCTTGTCTTTTATTCATTAAAGTTAGGGTTTCAAGGTTATATCACTGGTTCTAAAAGCTCATTGGCACCTCTAAGTGGTACTTATGATCAATGGGACTCTGGAAACTCTTTGGTCATGTCTTGGCTTATCAACTCTGTGGAACCCAAGATTGCAAATGGATATTTGATGTTGGAAATTGTTGCAAAAACTTGGAGAACTGTTACTAGAAAAACTACTCTCAACATGGGAATGTTGCATGTGAGCTTTGCAACAAAGTTCATGGCACAAAGCAAGAGGAATTGAAAGTTAGTCAGTATTATGCTAAATTGAATAACCTGTGGCAAAAACTAGATTAATATGAGACCTATTATCCCAATTGTGAGGAGGATGTGATAGGATACCAAAGGAAGGTTGAGACATGGTGGACATATGAGTTCCTTGTTGGATTGAATGTTGAATATGACCCTATTCAGATCTAAATCTTGGGTAAGGATCCTATGATTTCCTTAGAGGAGACATACTCTTATTTTCAACAGGAAGAAAGTAGAAGTGGTTTTATGTTATCCACTGACTGAGAGAGGTAAGCTTATAGCTTCTCAATCTTCCCAGACTACTCATACATCATTAGAAGAGGATCCTTGTCAGCGTGATCACTATGGAAGGCTAGGAAATACTAAGGAATCATGTTGGAAGCTACATGGATGACCAACTAGATGTCGTGGTCATGGCTGTGCAACATAGAATAGTGAGTACTAGTAATCTCTGACATTATCTTTCAACATAATCAACTGGTATTGTTTACAAAGTTGAATAACCAGGAAATACTCGTAATTCCCCATGATCTCTTTCAAGTTGACCAATTGTTGCCGTAAGGATTGCTCATGTGATTTTGTTAGTTAAAATTATGTAAGCAATTTGTTGCATATCTATATCGTGTTGAAATTTCCTTTCAAATAGTACAAATCAAGAGGTAAAATTACATCTTTAACAATTTATCATTTGTAATAGTACCATTTCATGTTTGTAATTTCCTTTTGCATGTTCAATTTTCTACCTTTTCTTCTCTTCCTACTCCCTTTGTTTTAAGCATCCAAATGTTATAGTAGATCATTTGCTAAGATGCTATTGCATTGTACTTGTATTGTATTGAGAAATGAAAAAAAAAAAAAAAGTTGTGCCTATTACTGCTAATGTGGTATAAACAAATATTTGAATTTAGCTTCATGAGTTTGTTATTATCATTGTGATGAGTGTGCTTCGTGTATTTGGGTAGCCTAAGCTTGTCTACCCAAGTTTTGCGTGTTTTTGTAATTGTACTCCACTTTGAAATTTAAATAATTAAATCACAACTCAACCAACTTGTTTGCAATTAAAAACTTATGTTTTTATATTTTTAATCTCTCTCCTCCCCTCACCTCCACTTGCCAACATCTCTTCATGCTAATCTAATGGTATAGAAGTTCCCTAGAGGAATTGGCAGTTGTCATCCCCACCATCATTCTCCCTTAACTATTCTTTTCCCTAAAATTACAATTATTTGCGTTAAGAATCCCACATCAATTAAATACTCAGCCACAAAGGGCATATGACAAGCTAGCTAGCTAATTGTTTAGTATTAACCTTTTAGCATTAATTAGCCCAAGCCCAAGTAAGTCTATATTACACATTTTAACAACCATCATGGGTTCTTACCTCTTATGCAATTCCCCTCTACCCTTTCAACTTTTTAATATGGTACCAGAGTAGGTCCGATCCGGTTTCAGTTAGTTATTCTCAATGTTGTCGTTACATTTCAATTCGGGCTCTTGTCTGGATGTCTAGTCCCATCAAGGCCCATTCAATTTTAGGGGGAGGATATCAAGTTTCAAGTGTGCCCATTCAATTTCAGGGGGACGATATCAAGTTTCAAGTGTCAACTAGAAGCTAGTCACAATTGCACTTGAGGGGGAGTGTTAAGAATTCCACATGAATTAAATACTCACCCACAAAGGGCATATGGCAAACTAGCTAGCTAATTGGTTAGTACTAACTTTTTAGCATTAGTTGGCCCAAGCCCAAGTAAGTCCATATTACACATTTTCACAACCATCATGGGTTCTTACCTCTTATCCAATTCCTCTCTACCCTTTCAACTTTGTAATAACTTGCATGATGAACTCCCTCGAGGTCAACAACTCCAAAATACATAGTCATGGACTAACAAGGCTTAGTTTCAATAAGATGTCATTCATATGGGATTATACCTAATGATCTACCATATGGAGAAAGCTTTGCAATCAATAATAGTTCCATAGGGCTTGTATACTAAGAGCAGCCTTAAAGCTTGAAAAGTGAATAAAGGACTATCAATGATTTTTATGTGCTAATGTAATTGTGTGATTTAAAAGCTCCTGATATGAGAAATGGGTTTTGATGTAAGATCTCAAATGTGCCATTGTTGATGTGTGTGAGAGAGAGGAGAGAGAGAGAGAGAGAGATGGTGCGTGTGTGGGTGGGTAGAAGTGGAGGATAAGAGAAACAAAAATTTTAAAAATAAGAAATTTTTTTGATTGTTATTAGAAATAAAACATTAGAAATAAATTGTAAAATAAGGTACAATTGTAAAACAATCTGAAGCTTGGGTAGACAGACACACGAGGCCATATATTGTTGCTATCACATTACATAAAATTTCTAAAATTTTTTCTAACAAATGATATTTAAGTGAATGTTACACTGCAGTTGAAGTTGTTCCTACATTATAAATTTTTAAGTTGATGTTACCTTTGAGAAAGTAAAATTTTGCTTGACAACGCGTTAGAAAAACTATATATAATGTTTTGTGAGTATAGCTTTTTGAAGGCTAGTTTACATTGTCTGTAAATGAGAAGCTGCAATTCTTAAGTTACAAATATTTATGATACTATATGTTTATGGATTTAAAGGAGTAATTTCTTGGTTAGTAAGATGTGGACATTTGCTGGGGAATTGTTCTAAACTGTGGATGCTTGCAAAGAATATCTAATGCAAAAAAAGTTTCTGTTGTTCTGTTGGTAGTATAGTAGCGTGCATGCATATAAAACTGCATTGGAAGTCATCAATATATCATGTGATATTTATTGAGTGAATACTATCTATAAGGAATCCGACCTAATTAATACCAATTTTAAAATTTGGCCTCAGGATGACAAAGCTTTCATTGAGCAAAGTCTTGTAGACAGTGAAAGAGTGCAGGTGCAGAGAGTCGACAGTTCAGTTCAATTCTTGCTAGTTATTGCCTATGTTGCGCTTATGGTTCTCATACATGATGTGCAGATGGAAGATATTTTGCTATGCGAAGGCGTTCAGAGGGGACTCCACTCGCCGGCATATTCGGTTGGTAGATATGCTCCCACAGTTGAGAAAGCTATGCATCACTTCCACCAATTACTTTATGATAACCTTAAAATTTGAGCTTTTCTACTGCATTATTCACAAGTTTCATGAATTGTCCAGTATTTTCTCATGTTTGATCCTGTAAGATGAAAGGGCTTAGGAAAAACACATCTTGTGGCATTTTGCTTTTTAAGGCAGCTTTGATTGCTCTACATAAACCACTCAAACTTGTATATATTTTTTTTTATTTTTCTATTGAGAACTTTTTTGGTGGAAAAATGTATAGTTCATGAGAAATTCATTAAAGGCTTTTTTAAAATACTAAATTATTTGTACTACTTTTTGAATAGCTTCACTACTTAATGTAAAGCATGAAAAGTGCACAAATTCCTCATTTCTATATCTTTTAGTAATTTTCATTGTGAAAAAACAATGAACACTTTTTATATGATGGGTTCCATTTTAGCTTAGCTTTGTTATCAAGACAATAATTGAGAGGGAAAGAAAGGAACAAAAGTTCAGTAAAACACAACAAGTGCTCTAATCTTCCTTTGAGTCATATTTCATATATTTTTTTATCAGCAAAATAAATAATTTTATTAGAATCCAGGAAAGACTTGTTAAACTCCAGCAATAATCCTAAATCAATAGACTCTTCCAATACACCTATTGTGAAGCACACACCTCTTGTTGCGTCATTTGCGGATGCATCCAATTTATACCACCACAATCGGTGCACTAAATTCTCCTTTTGCTAGCATAGATCTACCTAATGTAGCCAATCAGTTTGTAATATCCACTAGTTGTTCTAGTTTTGCTGATGGTGTTGGACTGAGGACTTTAGAAGACAGAGCAGCTCGGGAGGAGGATCGGGATGATGCTAGTTTGGATGATGACCAGTTTTAGCTTTTATATGTTTTATGTTGAGTTTATTTCACTTTGATTACTATTTTAACTAGTGTGGAATAGTTTCACAACTATATGAATGTTGATATATTGTGATATTATTATGGATGCTATTATATAAATACTATTACAGTTTAAATTTGTGATATTTGGAATGACTTTGCAACTATACAGGTCTAAATAAATGACTTTGATATAAAATAGTTGTTTTTATAGGTTTTAATTGGCATTTCAAATTAAAAAATTTCAATTTTGCACACATTTATGAACTAAGTTTTCACAAAGTATTGTTTTCTGACAAATTACTGACTAAATAAATTAATTTTGATAATTAGAAATTAAAAATAACGATGATTTTACGACAATAGCAACAAAATATTTTCGACAAAAATTAGCAATAAATTCTATGACATAAATTTCATATTTACCAACAGATATATAGATTTAGCGACAGAAATTCAGTAGTTAATTTACCGACAAAATGAAAATCTGTAGGTAATTAATTTGCGATAAGTACTTTATCGACAAAATTTTTCTGTCGCTAATCTGTAGGTAATCTTATTTACCTATTGAATTTCAAGTTTCACCTACCGAATTTTCTGTCGCTAATTTCTGATTTTTTTTTTTTAGTGGGCATATGTCTAATAACATAATCACAACAAATCGCACCAAATCAGGAAGTTAACAATATTTAGGAACTTTATCTTTTATTTGTAATTCATCTTTCCTATTTCTTCTCCTATTGTATGCTGATTTCTCTCGTATATAATTGTATCTATTTGTAATCATCAATATTAATAGATACGCTTCTTCAGCCTCACTAAATCTCTTTATGGTATCAGAGTAGTGATCGATTGAGAGATAGCAGATTTACTAAATTACCAGTCAGAATAATGTTGTCCACATATACAAGAAGACAAAGAATGATACCCGAGTGTCCAAGGATAGATAAAGAGCTATCTAATTGAGATCCAAAGAACCCATAACTGATCAAAAAATTCTTCAATGCCATGTACCAAGCTCGAGGTGACTGTTTTATGCCATAGATTGCTTTCCGCAATTTACAAACATGGCCAGGATAATCAAGATGCTCAAAGCCCTTTGGTTGACTCATATATACCTCATCATCAAGTTTCCCTTGTAAGAATACATTGTTTACATCTAATTGATGTAAAGACCAATTTTGCTGCACTACTAGTGTCCGGACAAGACAAATAGTAGTTGGTTTGATAACCGGACTAAATGTAGCATGATAATCAATACCTGGACATTATGTGAATCTCTTAGCAACAAGATGTGCTTTGTACTTGTCTAATTCTCCATTAGCCTTGAACTTGAACTGAAAAGCCATTTACACCGATAATATTTTAGGAATGTCGAGGAACCAACTCCCATGTTTGATTTTGGATAAGTGCATTAAATTCATCCCTCATAGTTGCATGCCAGTGAGCATCTCTTTAGGCTTGTCTAATAGTAGTGGGGACGGAGTGTTTAGGTACAATAGTAAAATGACAAAAAAATGGTCATAAGACCTGAGTTTGTGTGTCATCTTGATTATTGATTGTGACCTTGATTTTCCAAGCCATGAGTTAAAGGATTCAGACATATTGTTAGTGATGTCATCACTTTTACAATCACATGCGAATGAGTCTCTTGCCCATTGGTGTAGTGGTATGTTCATAAGCCATGCATGGGGCTTACCATCCATCTTGTTCTCAATATTCTTCATGTAAACCTTGATTCTTGAATATAAGTTGCCTTTGCTGTAGCCCAAAAGTTCTTTCTAAAGACACCTTTAGGATATTGCTTCTTGAAGTTCATAAAAATGTGTTGGCAACAAAATCTGTGCCTTGCACTCGGGAACCATGTCTTTATTGCATCTATCAAACCCTACAAAAATTATTGCATAACTTTCATATTTAAAAGAAGCATTAAAGCAAATGAAATTAAGTACAAAAGCAATAATAAAAAAGAAAAAAAGAATTACATTACCTTTTGTCAGTCCGACATGAAAGTCCAAATTTGACTACCACTCCCATCTATGATGCACTGAGAAAGACAGTCTAAAAAAAAAAAAAATCCCCATATAGAGCTACATTCTAAGTCCACAATGGCCATAACAAGTGGTAAGACTCCATGATTACCATCAATACCCACTGCACTTAAACACACACACTCCCATCTATGATGCACTGAGAACGACAGTCTAAAAAAAAAAAAAAATCCCCATATAGAGCTACATTCTAAGTCCACAATGGCCATAACAAGTGGTAAGACTCCATGATTACCATCAATACCCACTGCACTTAAACACACACACTCCCATCTATGATGCACTGAGAACGACAGTCTAAAAAAAAAAAAAAATCCCCATATAGAGCTACATTCTAAGTCCACAATGGCCATAACAAGTGGTAAGACTCCATGATTACCATCAATACCCACTGCACTTAAACACACACACTCCCATCTATGATGCACTGAGAACGACAGTCTAAAAAAAAAAAAAAATCCCCATATAGAGCTACATTCTAAGTCCACAATGGCCATAACAAGTGGTAAGACTCCATGATTACCATCAATACCCACTGCACTTAAACACACACACTCCCATCTATGATGCACTGAGAACGACAGTCTAAAAAAAAAAAAAAATCCCCATATAGAGCTACATTCTAAGTCCACAATGGCCATAACAAGTGGTAAGACTCCATGATTACCATCAATACCCACTGCACTTAAACACACACACTCCCATCTATGATGCACTGAGAACGACAGTCTAAAAAAAAAAAAAAATCCCCATATAGAGCTACATTCTAAGTCCACAATGGCCATAACAAGTGGTAAGACTCCATGATTACCATCAATACCCACTGCACTTAAACACACACACTCCCATCTATGATGCACTGAGAACGACAGTCTAAAAAAAAAAAAAAATCCCCATATAGAGCTAAAAATCCTAGGATTGTACCTCTACAGCTCCTCTAAGTACCTCCTGAGTTGCCTAAAACTCTGTTCATGAGACCCTTCTGTCTTTTCCCTAGCTTTATTCCTAGCACAATTTAATTGCCACTTCTATGGTTCAATACCCCACTCTTTTGTTAATTTGAATTGCATGACATCATAACTAAGGTACGGATCACTCTCTAGTTCATCTTTAAGTTTCTTGCTAATCCATCTACTATTACAATCTGGATTTTTATTCCTAAGAGGTCTAATGCATTGATGATCTTCCTGAAGTGTTCTAACCATGAATGTTATGCCATCTATTAATCTTGATGCATCGATCCTGAAGCTACACTGAGGACATATGGATTTTTCATGAAGGAATGAAATCGGCTTGGTTCATTTTATTTTGTTAAATCAATTTTCTCTTATTAGACCCATTCATTAATCCTCGGGAAAGGCGGTCCTTTTAGAAAGGAATAAAAAAATGGCTCTTACTTTGGTAAGAGTTTAGATTTGGAGTCGCCACCCTCTTCAGGGAAAATACCATGAATTAATCGATTCTTTGGACTCAACTAATCCGGTTTTAAAACAGAGACTGGATCAGAGAGTTTGGTACGGTGTCGAGAAGGGATTAGGAACTTGAACTTCCTAGTTAGAGACCAGCCTCCTTCATTGTCCACTCATTCATTATGATTAATAACGTGATTAACTTTAATTGAGATGTAAAACATTTTATGCATTTTTAAAAGATCATGGCAAACAAGCATATTGTCCATACATGAAGCATAAAATAGATCATCCAAAGAAGGGGAGAAAGTAGAAAAGAATTACAACCAATTCCTAAATGTACATTATACCCAATTAATTCCCCAAACAATCAGCTAACCCATTAATTATTATAAATATGCAATAATAGGACCCATCAAGGACCTTTACATTAAGCTTACTAACCAAAAGTAGTAAGAACTTAAGGAGAACAACACAAACATAATACAATTATATATCCAAATTGAATATCAACAGCACGCAGTCATAATAATTAACATGAAGAATGTGAATGTGTAAAATGTTCTAATCTAACTTTAGATGGGTTAGCTTTAAAATAATTAAGGAAACATAAAAGTAAAGTGCATAAGATGTAAATGACAGGAATTTAAATGATAAAATCTAAATGAACTGGAAAGTAAATGGCAGAATAATAAAACATTATTAGTTAACTTAGAATAGGATTTGAGTTCAAGAATTTGTTGTTCACCATAAATGATGAACAATTATGACTATCACTACCCATTTCCCATCCCTTATGTGCTCATCCGAGCTAAAATGAGTTTTATACGCACTTTAAGCAAGGATGCTTAATGATTGACTTAATTAGATCCCAAAGTCAAAGCTGAGTTATTGATTTTATGTTTCTGAGATTCTGAAATGAAGACCTAGGCGCCACTAGAAGTGGCGTGCGGGTCTTGCCCTAATTAGAAAAATCAAGATGAAGCCTCAGATGCTGTCTGTGAAGAAGTGGCACAGAGCCATTGC